TGTTTTCTTTGATACGTCTATATCTCTAAAACTTTTGATTACGATTTGGCTCAAATTTTTGAGGGGTTAGGACTTGGTAAAAAACAAAAAGTTGAATGAACGTGAAATTGCATATTTCAGGTTTTTATAAGCCTTGGATTTTACAAAAACCTTTTAGTAAAAAAAAACGGCTCCAACGATTTTTAATAAACTCACTATATCAGCATATTATTAAGCAGTTTTTATTCTTATTGATGTTCTCTAACAGGGCTTAAATGGCTAATTTTTAATACTAGCTCACTCTAAAGTACCTTTAATAATTTATATTTGAAATAATTAACCATTTCACATTAATCTTTGATATAAAAAATAGATAAATATAAAATATGAAAGAATTTGATAAATAACTAAAGGAGAAATAAGAGATCGTAACAAATAATAGTTGTAATGCAGGAACCAAAGCAGTATGAGCGCACCCAAAAGATTACAATAGGCTTTCATTCCTAACATGGGCTTAACATAATACAGACTCCTACAATATTATGTAAATATACATAGATATTTTTGTTTATCAGTAGATATTTTTGTGTATTTAGTTTTTGTCTGATTTTCAATTTTTATTTGGAAAAAAGTGAGAATAGTATTTTCAGTCGCTTGTTTGAAGTCTTTATTTTCATTTTGACGGATGGATCCCAAATCATACATCTGTCGAATATGAGTCGAAGATTAAATATACTATATGGTTTTCATAAATGCTATTGTTGATACTATTTTATATTTAACTGTATCGATTACAGCGTACAAATATTAAAATTTGTACATACAAGGGTAGTTATACAAACAAAAATACCCACAATGAAATATAGATAAATATAGTCTACAATTTTTACTTTCACTTCGATTTGTCTGAAAATACTTATTTCTGCTAAGAGGGTGATAAGTGAAAGTTGTGTGATCTGCGCAATGCACCAGATTTTTTATTTAGTTTCTCTAAAAATAACATCTCTCAACAGCTGATAAAATCTGATTCCATTTCCTGGTAGGTGTCCACTACTAAGAAAATGTATTGTATAATGTATTGAGAAACATATGGTTAAGACATTATTTCTATTACAAAATCAACTATTTGAAATGCAGTGAACGTGTTAGATTCATAAGAAATTAGAAACATTTTTAAAGAACAAGGCATCAAGATTGCAAAAGAGCCACATGATCCTAAAGAAATACTGTAGCTGATTGGTGCAGATGTGGCTGATAAGCTATTGACTGGAGGGGTTAACTCTTTAGGACAACTAGTTGCTATTGGGATTAGACTTGGTAGGTTGGTTATAGGAAAATTTATGCGAGCTTCCCCTGCACAAAATAGTTTCGCCACCAGTACTTAATGAGCCGGATACAAGTTTATATCCAGATTGAGTCAGTTGGATCTGGATTGGTATGTTCCAGGAGAGCAGAATCCAGCAAATCTCCCTTCTCATGGTGGGAGGGACCGATCTGGGAAGATATGCCAGTGGAGAGAACTAGAGACTACAACAGAGGAACATGGTAAAAAAGAGACTAGAGAGCTTATTAATGAACGATGTTGTTTAAGTGGGCCACACAAAGGTGGGAGAATGTTGGAAACATTAGGAATAATTTAGAAGCTGTTAGCGAGATGTTACATTAATCACAGATGTTATATGAGAAGGAGTTAGTCGGGGGTGCGGTCAAATAAATACTAAATTAAAATATAGTAATTATTTTATTTTAATTTTGCCGATGTTTCGACTAACTTTGCAGGTCGTCTTCAGGGCTACAAAAGATACAAAACATGTTGAGAATAAAAATTAAATATAAGTAGATATAAAATAAGAAGAAGTTCTCAGATACAGAAATAAAAGATGATATCAGAGATATAGTGGGTGACAATGTAGTAAAATATTAAGTATTATATATGTAGAAGATACAAATAAATGGAAAATAAGTATGAATAAAAATAAAAATAAAGGAGAATATAGCATGTAAGTTAAAAGTAAACAGATTGCGATAAAAGATAAGGAATAAGTGTATAACAAACTAATAGAGATTATATTAGATAACTGTGGGTTAACAGATAAAGAAAATGAATGTTAACGAATAAATAGATTGAAAATTAAATAAGTAATTTTTAATGTTGAATAATTAATGTTTGAATTAGTAATGTAACACACACCCGACTAACTCCTTCTCATATTATATCAACGGTCAACCACCTCTACATCACAGATGTTATAATTAAAACACATGATATAATCCAACAAAATTGATTGTTACTATTGGTAAAAACTTAAATTATGTAATAAAAATAACATTGTTGATAAAAGAATATTAGTGCTCTATTTATTTGATTTGTTCTTAATTTTGTGTATTATTTTATAATTGTTATTGTTTATAATGATACACTTTTTCATTACCAGTGCATTCCAGCTGAAATAAAAATCTCTTGCCAAGGTTGAATAAAATTTGATTACTAAAAAAAAAAAATAGGGTAGAAAATAATATTAAGAAAAAAATTGAAATGAAACCAGCTAAATGTATCAACCAATAATTTCAAAATTATTTAGACTTTTTATGAACAACATACGTACCGCAGTCAGAAGTAGACTTACCATTCTAATTGGGAAGAAATGGCTCCCCCAAAAAAAGTCTCGGGATATTTTATATTATGTATAACAATTATGAATGATAATTAACTCATTAACATAATAATTATTGTAAAATGAACAATATAATACTATATAAATAAACTTATACATATCTTTTTTTTTGAGGAAGGAGATGGTCTGGAGTAGCAGTTATAAAAAAACTTAAATAGTGAAAAATTATTTTATTTTAAACCTAAATAAATTAACTTTTTTTTCATATGGGTATATATGCATAAAAATATCTTCATTGCCAGACCATCGACTTTCAAGAAAGTGTTTGCAAAAACTTGTAGCTATGGACACTAGGCAACCTAATCTCGAATTCAACTGGATATCACAAGTTAAAAAGTTAGCCACTTCTAATTCAATTGAAGAATACTTCAACGATTTCTTGGATACAAAGATATTAATAAAGTACAAAAAACTATTTTGACAGTTGTATCTAATAACTTATTTTCTAAAGACATTGAACGCACCTTTAATTCCAACTATAGCCACATCTATAAGGTGAATCTGTTGTTATAATTACCCAGACCTGCAAAACTACCTCAAATTTATTGTATTTTTGACTCCCATAGTTTACTTCATAATCCATAACTTTAAAACTAATAATTATTCGTTCGTTAGTATATCATATAAATATAGAGCATATCTTCTTACCGTTAAAATAGAATCAAATACATTGCATTATTGCGACCTAAAGAAGTATATTTAAGTTAATGTATTACTTGTTTCTTATATAATTTGTAATTTTTTTTCTGTTTAAATTAAGTTTATATTGTTAGCTTACATATTATAACAATTTGTTTTATATTAATGTATTTATCTTTTTTCCTTCTTATATTGTCCTCATGTTTTATATTGTACCTGTTATTTACAAACTAACTTCAACTAACATTGATTGGGCCAGGTTCCATGGCTACGATGTTTATAAACCAATAAATAAAAAAATAAATATTTTAAAAAATCAATTGAATATATTACTTTTTTTTTTATTTAAAAGTTTAAAGCAATAAGATGAACTCTTCATGTAAAAATGGAAGAGTGGACATGAATGAATCATAAAATCCTAGAATACGTTATCTTTAAAGGTGAACTAAAATTTCAATAATAGCAACACAGAGCATCGTAAAATACTTTCAAATCTACTTCTAGGCCTTAGCTTAGCTATCTAGTCGACTTTTTCAATTTCGGTAATGGATTTTATTTTATTCATACATATAGCTTAATTGCTAATGATTTAAATTTTATTTTTATTCTTCAAAATATTGGGAGGGGACGGGGCAGAACGATATTCTCGTTCCCATTCCATTTTTATTGGAGGGGGATTGATGACGGAGGGCGCCCATCTTACCCCCTCCTTCCCAAAGTCTGCACCTTGTAGTAGATAGCCCCCAATATTTACTCCTTTATGTGAGGGAATGAGAAGGAATATATAATATATAGTTTAACTTTATTTGGTTATTTACAATATTTTGACGAAGTCATCAAGATATTACTGCCGCTGTATCTCGAAGACTTCAAAATGTACCGTTTTTTTTAGATTCTCATCGAAAGCCTTAGTACATACCCTCCAGTATTTACTCCTTTATGTGACAATGTGTGAGGGAATGAGAAGGAATATATAATATATAGGAATGTGAGGTTGCACTGTGAATTGTACTCAATTGTGCAGCAGACAAATTGTTCATTGAAAAATCTCATATCGATAAAAAATCGATAAAGAAGGACGCTGGGAAAAGGTCAGAGCAAGTAGCTGGCAACAGCTGGCAGAAGGACACCGAGAAGAGCACTTGAGGCCTGGACAGGAAGACAAGAAGACTTTATCTGGGAAGAGAGGCTTACTACATTGAAGACTAAGAATATCAAGCCTACAGTTATAAGACTTTTATACATTAATTTATTACAGTTGTCAAAATAATAAATTGTTTTATTATACAGGAGTGAAATGTCATCTTATTTAGTTGTCCTATAGGCCTCACAATTGAAGAATAACAAACCAGGTGAGTCAATTCATTTAAAGTGTGTTTACTAAGTCCCACATTTCATATATATATTCTTATTGTTTCTTGTCACCCAGTGTCACAAAAGGTATTAGGTTCCCGAATTCCCAACGACAGTTAAACACCCTCAAAAAGTCTATATCCAGTGCCGAGGTTTTGTTTTAATATTCACGAGTGTAAATAACCTAGTCCCCTGATATAAACGGAAGGAATGTTTACTATTCCCGAAAAAAAAAATGAATATTTACTTTTAAACCTTTAATAGGTTATTTACAACCTCTGACAGCAGTAGTGGTTCCAAAAAAAAAAAAAAAAATTGATCATGAACTAATCTAGTGAAATCAAAGAAGTCAGCAATAAATTAAATTATTTATTTCATTAAATAAATCAACAATAGAAAAAAATAAAATAAACCAATAAAAATAGCTGTTGACAAATATGAGACTCAAAGCAGAATGGTAGAAATATTGAACATTTTTGATGGTAAAATAAGCAATAAGATAAAAAAAGCCTCCGTTTCTTTTAAAAAACTAGAGAGGGCTGATGTATCAATTTACTTTTATCTATAAACAAACGGGCAATTAACTTTTTCTAAGAGTTAAAAACCTTGTTTCAGCTCCTTTTAACTCTCCATTGATTATCAAATGGACTTCTGGATATCGATAATGGTAATCAGAAGTGTTATTCATTTTGTTTCTTTTTTTTTCTTTTTCTTCCCTTCTTCTTCGACTTTTTTTGACTATACAGAATTATTTTCAGAGCAAGAGAGAAAGTGGGAAATTAATGCCAGAGTTGCATTCCTTCGGCACTGGATTCAAACTTGGAATCTTTGGTTTATCAGGTTGCCAGAATACGCACCCTCATCTCTCTCCCTTCCTCCCCACAAAAAAAAGTATTCTTCATACTGACAATGGTCGATTAAAAGTTGATTAGTATAACTATTTTTATTATTTTATAGCCACAATGATGATGTTGATAAGCCCTCCATGATGTTTGAAAGCTTCCATGGTATCATAGTCACATAATGAGATGGATTAGGCTTCTCATTTGTAAGATGGACCATCATATGCACTTTTAAATTACAAGCTGCTACAGTTTTATACTCATAATGTGATCATTAACAAATTAATTGCTATATGTTCCTTTATACCACATTTCTCATTTTTCCATAATCGCATTGGGCATATTTACGAGGCTTTTCATCCCTATTGTAGTGCATTACATATTTTATTTTTTTTAAAGCACTCATTGCCACTTATGATGTTTCTTTTCTGTAAGAAGGACCATTATGTGATCCTTTAAAGTACTTATTTGATCCACTCAGTAGCATCAATGTGGACATTTATGAGCCTGAATGGTAAGTTGTTATATGATTTCTTAAATTAGTAATTACCATAGCCTTATATTGGCAATGGGGACATTGATGAAACTTCTCTCCCTTGTGACGAAGCCTTATATGAATGTTTAAAGTACTTTTTCTAACTGCTTTATAAACACAATGAGGACATTTATGAGGCCTCTCGTCTGTATGATGAGCCATAATGTGATTTTTTAAACAATTTACTTCAACTGTTCTATAGTCACAATGGAGACATTTATGAGGCTTCTCACCTGTATGACGATACGTTATATGCCTTTTTAAAGTACCGATTTGAGTTGCTTTATATTCACAATGAGGACATTCGTGAGATTTTTCATCCACATGACTGTCTCTTATATGACTTTTTAAAGAAATAGCTACCGTTGTTTCATATTCACAATGAGGACACTTACGAGGTTTCTCATATATATGACAGGCCATTATATGTTTTTTTAAGTCACTTGCTTCTGCTGTTCTATGGTCACACTGAGAACACATATGAGGCTTCTCACCTATATGAAGACACCTTATATGTCTTTTCAAAGTACCAATTTGAGCTGCTCTGTAATTGCAATATGGACATAGATGAAATTTTTCACCAATATGTAGAGACCTAATATGACTTTTCAAAGTACCAATTAGAGTTGCACTATAATTGCAATGAGAACATTGATATAACCTCTCGCCACTGTGAGTCGCTCTTATATGAATGTTTAATGTACTTTTTTTTACTGCTTTATAGTCACAATGAGGACATTTATGAGGCCTCTCGTCTGTATGATGAGCCATAATATGATTTTTTAAACAACTTACTTCAACTGTTCTATAATCACAATGGGGACAGTTATGTGGCTTCTCCCCTGTATGACGATATGTTATATGTCTTTTCAAAGTACCTATTTGAGTTGTTTTATAGTCACAATGAGGACATTCATGGGGTTTTTCATCTCTGTGGCAATCTTTTATATGACTTTTTAAAGAAATAGCTAATGTTGTTTCAAATTCACAATGAGGACACTTACGAGGCTTCCCATTTATATGACGAGACAATATGTGTTTTCTCAAAGTACCAATTCGTGCTGCTTTATAGTCACAATGATGACATTTATGAGGCTTCTCACCAACATGATAAGACATTAAATGTAGTTTCAATTCACTCATTTCAGCTGTTTTAAAGTCACAACGTGGACAACGGTAAAGGTTTTCATCTGTGTGATAAGACACTACATGACGTTTTAAATTACTAGATTTTGCTGTTTCGAATTTGCAATGAGGACATTTAAAGGGCTTCTCACCTGTATGACGGGCTATTATATGTTTTTTTAAGTCACTCGCCTCTGCTGCTCTATAGTCACATTGAGGACACCTGTGAGGTTTATCACCTATATGCAGACACCTAATATGCCTTTTCAAAGTACCAATTTGAGTTGCTCTATAATTGCAATGTGGACATCGGTGAGGTTTATAACCTATGTGATGGGCCAATAAATGATCTTTTAAATGAGTAGCTATGGCTGTTTCATATTCACAAAGAGAACATTTATGAGGCTTCTCACCTGTACGATAAGCCATTATATGTCTTTTTATAAGACTTTTATCTGAAGCTCTATATTCGCAATGAGGACATTTATGAGAGTTCTCAGCTGTATTAGACATTAGACATTCCTTCGAGTTGATGTGAACCATTGATTCCAAACCATCCTGTTTGATCTCCTTGGTCTGGTGCAGTGAATCCTGTATCCCTAAAACATTAAATATTTCCATATTAAAAATAAAGACATGAATATTTAATGAACCTGAAGGTTCTATGACAATGCCATCTTTTGCCCCATAAAAGCTCCTCTCCATTGATTTCCATTAAAACCCAAGGCAACAATGTCTGACCTAAAAATAAGGTCTGAATATTTGCTCTTCATTTAACTAAGCTTTTTAAATTGACATTGGATGATGCTTTTGTGCTAAAATTTTCTAAATTTATAACTTCACCAAGTTCTCATGATATAACATTTCAGTGGATTATGCAAGGGATAATAATTAATTTATACTTTTAACTTTTATTAAAATAGAAAGAAATCTCTTTCTGGAACCCAATATACTATGAGAACAAATTGTTGCTGACAACGAACTTCTACTTAATACAAGTGTCAGTTTTATTTTTAAAATTTGCAACGAGTTCCATTAGATAACTTTTTCTGTATGAGCTCCCAGAGTAAAAGATATAATCCAAACTGCTCAAAAAAAAAATAGGAACAGTGTTAATTATGTATGATTTATTTTCTCTAGATTTTTTATTTTATTTATATTACAAATTAATTTTAAATAAATACAAAAAACATTGTATTTGATATCAGGAAATTTTATAAAAAATGTTTTAATAAAATTAAAAGTTTTTGTGATCTTGTTTTTATGATTGAAAATTGCAGAATTTTGTAAAATTTAATAATTTGTGTAATGTCTTCTGTAACACAATAACCCTCTGCACCTATTGTGCATACTGTTCATAACGTCACTGATTTCTAAAGCTGCAGATGGTGGTAAAAATGTCTTCTCTGCCATTCACACCACATGTGCTCAATAGGATTAAGATCTGGAGGCAATAAGAGAAGAGACAGATGTGCAATGTCCAGATTTGCAAGACATTGATGAACGACTTTTTTCCTGCGAAGAAAACAAAAATTGTGCCAACTAATTATGGCTCTGGTTTGAAGAATGTACTCCAATAATTTCTTTAACATAACAAGCAACAGTGAGATTAGCTTCCAGTAATCTAATTTACCTATATGTAAATTGTATAGATTACAGCGATATAAATATAAGGATATTTAAACAAATAAAAATACCCACAATGAAATATAAATTAATACAGTGTTTATAACCTTTATTTTCACTTCACCTTTGTGTGAAAATACTTATTTCTGCAAAGAAGAGAGTGGTAAGTGAAAGTTGTGTGATGCATGCACCAGATTTTTATTTAAAAATAAAAATGGTTGTTTTAATTAAAACAAATCAAATAGAAATATCACTATTCATTTTTGAGCAGTGTATATTAAACACTAATAAAAATGAGCGTGGGTTATAATAATATAAAAACTGTCGTTAGAGATACAGAAATCATGATTAGTTGGTAAAACAAAACAGCAGAGCATATGTTTGATTTAAAATTAATGTTTCTTACCTTCGTCCGGGATAAGCAACTCTTCTTCCTTCTTCACATGAATAGTTCCACCTATCAGCAGATAAATTGTATTTTCAACAAAATAATAAAATGGGACTTGACAAATTTAGCAACAAAATAAGAAAAATTAGCCTTTGCCTCCCTCCGTTCATGATCAGGTTTCCGATTACGATTGTAAAAATGTAGTTGCGTCACATTTTTGCTATATTTACAGTTGTATTAATTTAATTAATTCTCTCTCTCCCTCAACCTTATTTTCAAAATAAACGTCTAAATCGTAATGTTTTTCAATACTCATTTTAATTTTATTAATATTTTTCTCAACAGAACCACACTCTGTATTAATTATTAACTTTAATTCATCACTGATTTTTAATAAATTGTCATTGATGGAATTAATGTGTTTCTCAGGTGAATTTGTAAATTTTTGAAAGCTTTAATTAATATATCTAATTAAATTAAATTGTAATTAATATCTATAGATATGTAAGTGCATCCATACATGACCTTAGGACACAAATGGACATGATCATAATCAACGATTACAATTACAGTAATTATTATTACGTGATTACGATTTTAATAAGGTTGTTGTGTCACATTTTTGACATATTTACAGTGCTATTATAACAAGTATAAAATTGGCATGGTCATTAAGTTTTATTCAGTTGTAACCATGTAATCATTTGATTCCGAGTTTGCTCATCTCTGCCTTAGGGTTATTTAGTAGTCAGTTTTTATTATTATGATCAACATTTCTAGTTGAATTTTATCAACTATAAAAAACAAGTCTTTTGGTGGAAGAACCATTATGGTATCATCTTCAAAACTCAAAATAGAAAATAAAACCCTTTCAGCTTGTTTTCTTTTTTTTTATCTTCATTTTCTGAGGCCCATGATTTTTCTTGATTTAAATCACCAAAACTTTTTTTTTAAGCAAAATCGGCACAGAAAAACCATGCACACCTTTGATGGAGGGAATGAAAGGGCATGTCAGGTACCAAGTACCAAATGGCAGATATGATTCCACTCAAAGCTTAAATAGAGACAAAATCTAATAATTTTTATCACAAATATCAACTACTGATCAACAGATTAATAAATTATTTTATGGAAACCGAATTTTGTAGGATGCCATATCCATATCCATGACATCAAAAGTCTATTGGTATTTTTAAATAACATCCATTATTATAGTCCGTGGTACAGACCCCTTTTTATTGAATTATTAACATCTGCCTGAAACTTCCTAAATAGTTTCATCTCATCGTAACCTATAAATATTTTATTTACGAAAATTCTTTGAATTTGTGTTTTCAATCTGGAGGGTGGCAACTTTTACTTGGTTCCTAAGATAATTCGATAAAAAAATTGATTAAAAAAGTGGCCTTCAAAAATATTGAGCCGTTTGGCGGGACCTACACCCCCAAATTTTCAAAATAGCCCAATATTTTTGTAGGCCACCTTTTTTTATCAATTTTGTGATCAAATTATGTTACGATTCAAGTAGAAAGGAAATGGGTATTTACGAGTTTTTAGTACCTAATTAAATAGAAAAGGTTGCCGCCCTCCAGATTGAAATGTCCCAATTCCAAGAGTTTTCATAAATTAGATAGTTGTAGGTTACGATGAGATGAAACTATTTACGAAGTTTCAGGCAAATGTTAATAATTCGATAAAAAGGGGTCTGTACTACGGACTATTAGGTTCTATAACTTATTTATTTAAAATACTGATTTACATTATAGGGACTCCTCCTACCAATCTTCATAATCTGACTTTTTTAATCATAAACATTATTCCACTAGCACCATTTACAAAGTTTTTGTGCACAACAATTTAACACGATAATACTAATGATAAGTACATCGTTCTATATTACATTAAAGAAGCATATCTTTAAGGTTACTTAATTTATAATATTTTACATCTTTTTCTACTGTAAAAAACACACTAACCTGCCTCGGTCATAGTCAAACCTATATATAGAGCAACTAAATTGATATCAGCCCCATTGTTATTAATCACCACTATCCTTTTAATATTTTTATTTGTTATCTACACCTTTTTCTTTTTAATATTATTTATTTTTATAAGATCTTTGATGGTTATATTATTATGATTAACAAATATAATAAATTAATTTAAAATTCTTCTCACCGTAATAGACCTCCGTTTGTTTTTCTTCTTTGATATCAGTCATGGGAACTGCAACAAAATCTTATCACAGTTGAAACACCAACAAACATTCACCAATACAGTAATTCTCCATCAAGAACCCTCAGATAATAAAAACTAATTTCTTGATGTCTTTAAAAACAATGCCTTTTTAGGCATATTGTGTAAGAAAACCCCAGTTAATCTTTAATTTAACATTTGGTTTATAATAATAATACAATGAAATAATTTTATTTCATTTATTATGTAATTTTCATTCAAATAAAAAGGTTAAAAATGGTTTGATAAAGTATTAGTTAAAATACTTAAGAAATGTAAGTACCATTACATTCCCTGAGATAATAAATACATTTAGAAATAAACTCATTTTCACATAATTTTTGTTTTTAAATATTGAGGTTCATAATGGAAAAAATAAAATAAATGCACTATCAAATTCATTGGGTGTTTTTACAGAAGAGTTGATACTTATATTGATTTTCAAATAAGTCAATTAGTGTTAACTTTAGAAATAATATAATCATTTCAGTAAACTGTCATACCATACATAATAATGTCGGTATTTGGATAAATTTTACCAGTTTTGATCAGTATCAAATAAAAAGTTGGATATCTCAGAAATATAAATTCTTTTTATCAATTTGATTCACGTATTTAAAATTTGATAATATTTAAATCCTGAGTAAATAAACTTATTAAAAGTTGTGAATAAGGCTAATGAGAACAAGAAAAAAGTGAGAAAAATCACATTACCTCATAAAAAAAACAAAAAAAACTGTACTACAACCTCTGAAGGGTTTTGGTTCAGACGATCTAAGAAAGTACTGTTTGTTAGCCAATGGTTGAGCCAGGAGGTGATTTGGCAAATATCACACTCAAACGCCAAGTTTCCTCTCTCAATTAATTAATTTAGAGTAACCCACTTTATAAAGGCTGGGTGTGCCACAGGAGGGTCTTCCGACCTCAGGATGGATCAACATCTGATGAAACAGAATAAATAATTACCTGCCATCAGCCGGATTCGAATCCAGGACGACCTAGAACTTTGTAAGTCAGTGCCCTACCACTGAGCTACCCTACTTCCTAGTTTTAGGCAAACAGTACTTAAATCAAGAATATAAAGTAATAAAATTAATCAAAAGAATATAATCACACTTCTAAATATTCATATTTTTTTTAAAAGATATTACTCACAAGATGGTACAGTTTCATCAGTTATTTCTTCTTTGATCGAAATACCAGAAACACTTATATCTGAAATAGCAAATAATAGATGGTTAAATCATGATTCAATGGCAAAATAACATAGATAAACGACACTGTCATATTGAAAAATAAATAAATAATATATTGTTCCACAACATTACAGTTATGTGAAGTTTAGTTGCCAAGTGGAAAGATCAAATTGATCACACTGTACATAGAATGCCAAAACTAGTACAATGTGTCCATGAGTATAAGCACGTAATATATCTCAAAACATTCCTATTCATAAATAAAAACAACAGTGTGAACCGACTTAGGGTTAATGTTTTTTATTTTAATGAAATTTACAACTGTATTACATGGAAAATACAACAAGTAAATGTGACATTGATAACATGACATGTATAACATGAAGAGAAACTACCCATTGGTAGAACTCAAATTAAAGTTCTATATTAGAAGGTCCCGAGGCCATCTTCTTTCCAGACGCCTCAGATGGTTCTGCAGTTTGTTATGGAAGGATAGGTATCTGGATTGGGCCAAATTGGAAACACATGGAACATTAAGGTCTTTATGGATGATTTTATTTGTGACAAAGTAAGGAGCGTTGAGGATTTTACGAAGGATTTTGGATTGTAAGGATTGGATACGAGAGGAATTCAATGGTTTAGTGGAACCCCAAAGCTCAATTCCGTAAGTCCAAATTGGTCTTATTATTGTCATATACATATGAGTCGTTTGTAATTGATTGAAAGCTTAGAGCGTGTGTAGGGTTAATGTTAATACTATATTACACACAAAATATTGAAATAAAAATAATTGTTATGTTTACAAGCCACAATAATTAAATCTGTGTCCCTATATGATCAAAGTGATCTTGGTCCATTAAACAAAGTCTAAAAAATAATTAAAGCCAATAAAATTAAGTAAAACAATGACTTCAAAATATTAATAGTTATGAATATATATAACTCACAACAGTGTTTGGTTTCTTCCTTGATCATACTTAAATCTGAAACAACAAAAAACATAAAATATTCATACTATAATGAAACAACATAAGAAACATTGAGGGATTAAAAAGTTGTTAAAAGGATGACTAAAAATCAAAAAGTATGCCACAAAAACATAATTTATGTTTTATTTATTTATATTTATATTTATTAAAGATTATATGTTTATAATCTTCAAGTAGCATTTACATATTTCAAAAAAAATTATTTCAATAGACCTCTTACAGCTTATGTAATTAAAAAAAAAACCTACATAATAGTTTAAAATATAATGCCAATCAAAATAAATCAAATAAATGTCACATTAGAAATGATAAGGGCCATTATTGCAAAAAGGTACAATAAACGTCATACAAACCAATTGGATCCATTTATAGACAAAAAATATCTCAGGTACTTCAAAAACTGTAAATAAACTTAAGCATCTATCACTAGCTTTCAAAAAACCAGTTAATTGGTGATAAGGCAATATGAACGGAGCTGTGATTCTGTAACAGTGACTGGGCCGGAGCTGGTGATCACAGTGACAGGCGTACCGAAATCACAGTGACAGTCACTATAGGCGCTCCTACAGTGACTTAATAATTTTAACTAAATCATTATTCAAAATCGTAAAATAATTGTTTTTCAGAATAACTCCAATATTAAAATAAGTACAAAATTCTTGAATAGAGAAAATATATAATAATATAAAGTTATGACTATCCTTAACCTATCTTTTCATTATTCCTACAAAACTGTAACCATTTCTTTTTACTTTCACTTACGTATATATGTAATATATAGTAACGGTAAGTATTGCGATCGTGAAAATTTTCGAATCTCAGTTTTCAACGGAAATACATGTTTTGAGGTTCCTGAGTCGAAATAACCAAGTGTCACAAAATGGTCTGTGTGTCTGTGTTAACAGTCTAGCTCATAAACGAAAAGTAGTAGGAAACTGATAGTAAGTATTTAAGGTTTGTATATGGGCCGGATGTGACAGCAACTTTTTCGTTAAAATCGGCTAACCGGAAGTGCCACTTTATATGAATGCTGAAACACATTTTTACAATTTTCTCAAAAACGGCTCTAACGATTTTGATTAAACTCATTGTATAATTAAGTGTTCTTTAATATCATTTGAGTCTTATTCCCTTTGATGTCACTTTACAGGTCTTAAATGCAAAATGTTCATATATGTCTTCCTCTAAAGTACCTTTAATATGGTTTATTTTAAAAAGTTAATCATTTCGCATTATTCAGAGTTATAAAAAAAATGCTACATATAACTTTTGAAAGAATTTGATAAGTCAATGAAGGAGAAAAAAAATAAAAATGCAGAAAAACCTGCGTTGCTATAGACTGTAGCGCCTAAACGAATGTACCGATTTCAATAAAACTTCGTTAAAGTAATTTTCTCGACACCCTTTAAATTGATCTATATAACATACTTCAACGAAAAGAAACTGGAAAAAAAGTTACGAGATATATTGAATATGGTTTTTAAAAGTTTACAGAATTTGCTAAAAAAAAAAAAAAATCGTTAAAATTGGACAATTGGGAGGAAAGATATGGTCTCTAGTTTATTTTCCTGAAGAGGGGAAAATTTGGATAAATTTAAAATATACTTTTTTAATCGTTGAGACTAAAAAAACTTTTTTCTGCAGATATTTAATAAAGTGTCTTTCTCAAGAACATTTTTCATAAGAAATAAGTACCTAAATTTATACCTTTATTCTCAATTCTATATTTCAACACTGCAATCACCACCTCCGGAATCAACTTACTCATTGTCTGCATAGATAACTTTTTCAACTAAAAATATCACTAAAATGACATCAATCAGAAATATTGAAATTGGAGTTAGTCATTCTGTGGATTATAAAAGCAAAGGAAATTGCTTGGTTTATAAAAGGAGATGGAGTGACTAGATTTTTATTGCCTGTTTTCCATATATTAAATAGACATTTTGTAATTATAATGGTCTTAATGACTTTTTATCTGTAACCTTTAAGCTTTAGCTTCGTTTAAAATGCACTTCAAAAATTTTTATAATAGCCTAGCACCGCCAGAAAATAAATTCTATTCAAAGTAGATCGGTAAGTGAAAGTTGTGTGTTGCGCGCACCAGATTTTTATTTTTGTAACTTCCTACCCTCCATTTTTGGCATACGGGGGAGGGGGGTTGTTCAAGAGGCACAACCAAACCTATTCTAACAGAGTGGGAGGGTCAAGTTACATTCCGCGGGTCCTCCACAAAATAAAAGTTCGGATTCGAACCGGCACACAATAGGCCGAGTAATGGAAAACTTAAAAATTTATAACTGTACTAAAAACCAGATAAACTGTTTAATTGATACCTTAGGCAGTTTGTGAGAATATTTTTAGTTGGCAGGATGAACATTTTATACTTTTTTTTAGTAAAATTTAATATTAAATAACTTTTTTCGTCATTAGTTTTTCATAAAATAAAGTCAAATAATGATAAAAATGCGATGCAAAAATTATTGTTTTTTTTTTTTTTTTTTTGCTAAATTAGTGAATTACGAGGATGAATGTCACGGAAACTATAGACTATAGCGAACCAGCTAATATAACCATTTCTATTACAAATTTTGTCAGCTATAATTTCACATATCAAATTATTTTAGATAGAACGCATAGTTTCACTGTTATAAGAGAAAAACGAAAAAAGAAAACTTTTTGAATTGTAAACTCAATTTTTTGACTTTAAAAATCCACGGGTATGGGGTAACTGACTATTATTTCATGTCTTAAATACTATAAATTGGAAGGGTTGGTAGCTTTATATATCTATAGGCGCTCTCTATATAATCGCTTACAACCAAAAGCGGGCACTAGCGTATCCAGGATTTAATTTTAGGGGGGGGGCTTCAGCCGGAAGCTTTTTTTTTCATATATATAACGATAATTATTTTAGAAAAACAGAAAGATACTAACTACCTATATGAATTGCTGTTTAAGTGATTCCTGAAGTCCTATTAAATGTAATTAAACGAGCAATAATACTTTAAGACATAATTTTTCACCATAAAACATGGTTAAATTTTATCATTTGTGGGAGGGGGCTTCAGTCCGAAAGCCCCCCGTAAATCCGCCTGTACAAGCGGGTCTAAGGGAAGGGGAGGGAGGCTTTTGGGCTGAAGCCTCCCAAAATGGTAAAATGGAACCAAGTTCTATGGTAAAACACATTATGGTCATCATTAGAGCCTGTTTCAAGCACAGAAGGTATTCAAATACTCTAGTACATTGAAGAAATTGAGTACTTGAATACCTTCAGTGCTCTAAACAGGCCCTGTAATGACCCACATGTTTGGGTTGAAACGGCGGCACTAATAAAAAAATTATAATGACCACAGACGGATTTACGGGGGAGCTTTCGGCCTGAAGTCCCCCTCAAAATGGTAAAATATAACCATGTTTTATGGTAAAAAATATTTAAAAATTATGTCTTGTAGTATTATTGATCGTTTAATTACATTTAATAGGACTTCAAATATCACTTAAACACCAATTCATATAGGTAGTTAGTATCTTTCTGTTTTTCAAAGAAATTATCGGTATATATATGAAAAAAAAGCTTCCGGGCTGAAGCCCTCCCCCCCAAAAATTAAATCCTGGATCCGCTAGTAATAATGACTGCGTTCTGAATATTTATCACCCGTTATATTTTATCACTTTTACATTATTTATTATCGTACATTACATCTCGTACATCAATAAATGGAAAGATGTATGGAGACGGATTATTAAAATTATTTCTTTATGCCAATACCAAAGTTTCAAGCGCTCAATTTTCTAATTTCGTTAAGGGATTAATTATTTAAAGTTATAAAATGTCTTTTTGCTATAAACCAACGATAAATTAATTAAGTAATAAAGTGAACAAGAAGGCTGTTAATTATTAAATATAATACATTAATATGTTCATAAATTAAACAAAGGAAAATACAAGAAAACTTTTATACTGTCACGATAATTTGTCACTGCTCCAATAGTGTCACTGGAGCAGTGACAGATTTTTTCTACTAGCTATATCGGCTATTTCTGAAATGCGGTAACAGATACAGAATTCCATCTGCACATACCCACTAAAAAGTAACAGGTCCAGTTTTTTTTTAACCATCTCTAGTTTATGATAACATATCAAGTCGTTACTTCTGCTGCATACATGAACTACAGCTCTTTGATAAATAGTAATTTTGGCAGTTTCTGGTGGACGTTAAAGTTTACATTCTTAATTTTTGAGGTTCTTGAAATAGTTGTTGGGTGGCAATGGATAAAATTGGTTCGTTGAGTATTTATGTTATCTTTTCAAGTAGATTGTATTGTTACAATTACTGCTTTTAGCATTAAGCAAATGTACACTTAATCTTTGTTTAGATTACAATCATTTTTTTTTTTTTGTTCGTACATTATTGCTTTATCTAACTATTTACATAGGCTATAGAAGATCTATCCAAATTAATTTTCTGTAATTTGTAAATGTTGAAGGTTATTAGCAGTGTTTCATTGTAATGCCTTATTTAAATTTCACTTATTTTATTTGTGAATAAATGATTTATTGGGAGTTGTTTTATCCTTAATAAGAATATTTTTACTGTTATTTATGAAGTTTCTAAGTCAATTGCTCCATCTTCACATTATATAATTGCTAAGTTTTGATTCCGGAGTATAAAAATTAACTTTTTTCTTTGAAACTTCTTTCAATTTCATTAATATGGTCGTCACTTACATCCATATATTTCACAATACTAATTAGAAGTCATCTTTTATATTAATTTGAACAATTTTACTATTTATTTACTTTTTCAATTCCATATTAGTTTCTTATGTTATTTTGTTATAGTACAGTGAATATATTATGTATGTTTTTTGCTTTTTTCAGATGAAAGCAAATCCTGTATTTTGATTAAAGAAGAAGAAATGGATGAAACCAAATCTCCTCGTAAGTTTTATCTATATGTTTATAATTACTAGTGTTCGCCGAGTGGTCGAAATTCAAACAGAGCCATTAAGAATTTGAGGAAAACATATAATTAAATAAAAAATAAATTAAATAAATAAAGAGTAAATCACGATTCAAAATTCCTCATTTATTAATATAAACAAAACTTCAATTTCAATAAAAAATCGATCTTCAACGACTTAAAATTATTTATAAGCAATACAAAATAGACTCATTCAAAAATATTTAATTTCCATTTTAATTTATGTTTGTTATTATCACAATAAATTAATGTTATGATTAAGCAATTAAAAAATAAATTTAAATTAGCAATTCCAATTCACTTTAAATCCATTTTTATTCAGAACTTATCTGTAAACAACGTTCTTTTTTAATGTTCTGTTATTGTTTAGTCTTGAGGACAAGTGTAGAATATTCACAGCTGTAGTAGAAGTTATTCTTTCATATGCCTCAGAAACATGGACTATGATTTCCCATTTGTACTCAAAAATACAGGCGGTTGAGATGGATTACTGGAGAAGGTGTCTCTGTCTTACCAGATTGGATAAAATTAAGAATGAGGTAGTTCGACAGAGAATGGATGTGGGTATAGCGGTTAATGAAATGATCGGAATGACGGTTAAAGAGAGGAATGCTGGCTGAGCCGAGTCCTGGATTGGATTCCGCCTGGGGAGGGAGGACGTGGAGGCAACCACGCCTATAAAGTAATTAACTAATAATATGCAATAATACTATGGGTACTGATTATTGCTGGTTGCAAAAATGAAGATGTTAAAAATGTAACTTAATTTTAGCTTTGGCATTCGTTGACAAGTGTGATCATGTAATCTTTTGCACTTCCATCACACTTGAGAAGTAGTGTCAATTCTTTCATTAAATTATATTTATATCTCCAAGCCAATTAATTTAGTCTGATGTGTTGGAAATTTAAGCTAACATAATCTTTCAAAAGATAGATAGTTAGATAGTTTCATGTAGAGCGTGATACAGTAATTTTAGTATCCTTGTCATCCAGATCTGACACTATTTCATTATTAGCTAGATTTTAAAATTGAACCATGTTTAAGTAAACAAAGTTTACGATATATTATGAAATGTAAACCAATAAAATGAATCAGAAGAATGGAAACAAACTGTAAAAGATTAATCATTATATAAATAGGGAAACACAAAACGGTTCAGCCCCTTTTTCTCCTATATTTTCCAACGCCCATACAGGCTTTGATGTAGGAGAAAATCATGAGGAGATACGAGTTTTTTTTTATTGAAAAACAGGTAAAAAGATTCTAATAGAGAGTGTTTTGGTATCCATGATAACCAGATCAAATCATCTACCAATATCATTATATAAATAGGCAAACACAAAACGGTTCAGCCTCTTTTTCTCCTCTATTATTCAACCGATTTTCTTCATTATTTTTTTGTTTAATAGCTATTGACGAGCTTTAGTTTTATCAATAAATACAAATATGAAATAGTTTGTAAATAAATATATAAATGGTAGTTTGTTCAAAACAGCTAATCTCCGAAAGTTCTTCACCGATTTCTTTGAAATTTTGACATAGCGTCGCAATAATATTTAAAAGTATTTTTTAATACGTTTCATTATGATCAGGCCTGTCCTTTCGAAATGGTGGCCGAAAAACGTGAAACGCTTTAGACTGTAGCGCCAATACGGCTTTAACGATTTTAATGGAACTTTGCTTAAGTCTTCCCCTTGAAACATTTATAATTTATGTATATAACATACTTTTCTGAAAACAAGCTGCATAATTTTTTTAATGAATTCAGTATTTTATTTGCAAATAAATCAAAAAGTACACATTTTTTTTATTGATTATACCAATATTTTTTTTAAACTTTCTGAATTCCTTACAAAATAAAAAAAATCATCAAAATCGGACTATTCGTTGCAGAGATATATCATTTTAAAAATTTAGTACTTTTTCTTTTGCTAAATCGATTATTTTGGTTTTTGATAAATTGCAAATTTTACATTTGATGAAGTAATCGGGACTATTATTTGAAGATATAATATCATTGAATGTTAACTCATATATTAAATTTAAAAGTAAATTCTATAGTTATACTCATTCTTAACTTAAATACTGCACAAGCATTAGTTAATGGAACACAAATGAGAGTGTAGTACTAACGGCAGCTACTTTAAATAAAAGACTATTAATTCCAAGAATTAATTTAATATTTTCTGACACAATACTTATATTCGACTTTCAAAGAACAACGTTTCTGTTTATAGCTGCATTTGCTATGACCATAATCAAATCCCAGAGTCAAAGTTTTGGAAAAATGTGTGTATTATTGCGACGTCCAGTAATTTCACATGGACAATTATATGTGACAGCAAGTAGAGCACGTTCATTTAAAATATTGAAATTTATATTTTCAATGGCAAGGGGCAAGACTATGCACTAAACAATAACAGAAAATTAAAAAAGAACGTTGTTTACAGATAAGTTTTGAATAAAAATGGATTTAAAGTGCATTGGAATTTCTAATTTAAATATATTTTTTAATTGCTTAATATAAACATTAATTTATTGTGATAATAACACACATAAATTAAATATTTTTGAATGAGTCTATTTTGTATTACTTATAAATAATTTTAAGTCGTTTAAGCTCGATTTTTTATTGAAATTTAAATTGTGTTTACATTAATAAATGAGGATTTTTGAATCGTGATTTACTCTTTATTTATTCAATTTATTTTTTATTTAGTTATATTTTTTCCTCAAATTTTTAATAGCTCTGGTCGAATTTCGAACACTATATGAACACTAGTAAAAGCATATTATTTTCTCATGTTTAAATTTTATTACATTCCACTGCATTTTTATATTTTCAGCCTTCTATAACTATGACTCCCTTTACTTTTTTTGGTCATTGAGAATAATAACTTTAAATAACAATAGTTGTAAACTTGGGTGTTCAATTATAATAATAGCTGTTAAAAGTGAAGAAACAAATTATAATTCAACAAGTATCTAGAGGTCAACTTCATAACACCAACAAATAAAAAAAAATCTAAAATAGTGGGAAAACTATTTTATTTGAAGCCAATCTTTTGACTTACCCTTTGCAGGTCTTCTTCAGGGAGGTGCATAGTTTTTAACTGAAACTTCTTGCTGAAAGCACCTCCCTGAAAGAAGACTTGCAAAGACAGGTCGAAACTTTGGCTTCAAATAAAATAGTTTTTCCACTATATTAGTCTCTTTATGTCTACCATCCCGGACCATCTCCTTTCTCTAAAATATACAACGGTTAAATATTAATTTTTTTTTTTTTTTTTTTTTTTTTATTGGTGATATTTACAACTGTATTACAAGTAAAAATACATTCAGTAAATGTGAACAAAGGAATAAAATAGCATGAAATCACATGTTGAGAAACTACCCATTGGTAGCACTCTAAAATATTAATTTTAAAAAAAATATTAAATTGATCAAGATTACTGAAAAATAATAAACAAAAGTTTTTAATTCCAATTGTAGTTGTTGACTTCTTTAAAAATTTTACAAATATATTTGACTTAAAATAATTGTTTCTAAAATCCTAATATACTCTCTGATCTCTCTCCACTCAATAATTTAATCAGTTTTCATTATGGAAGATAATTTTTTTAATGCTACCCTTTCAAATTATATTTCACTAATTTGTATGTGGATGTACCTTACTGCTTACAAATAGAAGGTACACTCATACAGTACTTAGTAACATATAATTCAATATATTTACAACTTTATATAGAGTTTATCAGGAATAACAAATCATGGACAAGAAGTAGATAGTAGATCTCAAGAACAAGAAAGAAGTTCACAATGACCATGATCTGATTCCTTATATAAAGCTTGAGTTTCATGTTTGTTTTAAAGTAAGTCATGTTTTTGTTTTATAGGAAGCCATAAATTAAAAACTATTATGGATGCAAAATTATTTAAGTGCTGCTACAGTGCGAAACACCAACAAAAATTAAAAAAAAAAATTTGTTCGTGCCAACGTTTTGGCTTAAGTTTTAGGCCTTGTTCAGGACTGAGGAAAGACAAGATGACACCCAAAAAAATTATAAACCCTGTTATAAAAATATATGAAAACTGAATTTTTATTTGTGTTTCTTCAAAACTCTTTGATCTTGGTGATTATTAATTTTAACATGTTAAACTAGAGAAAATTTTCATCAAATGCTTGTTAAATGGTTTAACAGTTTGATATATGTGATATTGGTACACTTTTCAATCTGTTGTGACACAACTATAGCGTTATCAAACAATTAAGTATTTTTCAATCTGAAAGTGTTCACTTACGTTGTTTTATAATTGAACCATATTTTTTTTTCATTTGTTGTTTGTTGTTTCAGGTATGAGAAATGCTGATATTACAATTAAAGAAGAAATAACTGATGAAATTGAGCCCTCTTGTGAGTCTCATTCTCTTAAAATTATGAATATTCTTATAAATAGTTTTATTAACAATAAACAACCTTATTTAGGTTATTAATATCTTCGTAGAAATTTAATACGATTGTTATAATATGTTTATTTTATAAATAAAAAATCTTTTTTACAAGAATAATTATTATCCCTTTATTTTAACATTTTGGCCCTAAAAGTCATTTTCAAAAACATAGAAAAAAAAAACAATAGTCACAAATCATTGTCTATATCATATGTGAGAAATCTTCTTATCATTAGAAGCCACAATTAGGTTAGACCATGCTAATGGAGACCAAAATAAATCTTTTGATTTTACCGTTGCTATTTTTATTTATCACTAAATTACACACAACCACATACATACATTCAACTTAATTCTATTAATTTCCAAATTGTTGTTACTTAAATAATTAAATATTAATTAATTGTAGCACTAAATAAATAAATATCGCATAAAAATGTCTAACGTGGCGTCACCTTAAGATATAATTTTGAATTATAGCCTGTTACAGAGATGATGAATTCTAATCAACTTCCTCGCTTGCAGTATGCAGGTTCGATTTTTAGTTTTTGAGATATTTTAATCCATATGTAAAAACATTTCAATTAGTTGACTATAGCCGACTTTACCCAAGTATTAAAACTTCGGAAATCTGACGGATCAATCTAATTCACTCTCCACAAAAAAGTACAAAACATGCCTAAAGAAGTTTTCGTTTCAAAAACTTGTGCTTTCTGTTTTCTTTCTTTTCCATTTATCCAGAGTGAACCCCGGCAGCACTTGACCGGATAAAACTAGTTAAAAATATTTTAATATAATTTAATGCTCAATGGCAGCAGTTGTTTAATTAAAATTATAAAACTGTTTGTTGTTTCTTATTTTCATATCAACAAAATACTTAAGGTTTTATTTGTTATATAAATTAGGCTAGGCCATTATTCACCAACATTTTATTTATTAGCTATTTTATTACGATAACATTTCGACTATCACTAGGGCCATTTTTAAGTCTTATTGAGTCCTCCATTAAATATCCATTATTAAGTGTTGTATTAATTTTTCAGAGAAAATTAAGTTGTCCTGATATTTAAGAGTTTCCCCTACGTCATTTCAGTCCCTCCAGAAATGACGTAGGGGAAGTCGAAACATCATAATAAAATAGCTAATAAATAAAATGTTGGTGAATAATGGCCTAATTTATATAACAAATAAAAGCTCAAGACACCTATTCTAGGAATAATGAACAGTAGAAAAATACTTGCACCTTTTTTTCTCCTCATTTGACATACTACTAATAGGGTCTTTTAAGTTGAGGTTGGGGCCTTACCGATGAATTAAACATTTATTTATAATGTTCCCTTACGTTGTTTTATAATTTAAATCATGATTTTATCGTATGTTATTTGCTGTTTCAGATATGAGTAACTCCGATATCTCAGTTAAAGAAGAAATCGCTGATGAGATTGAACCCTTTTGTGAGTATTATCTTTTAAAAATTATTGATCCTTAGAAGTTTGATTGATTTAAAAAATGTTTGAACATTACATTAAGTATTATATATTTTGATTAATTAATTAATTAATAACTATTTTAATTACAAAACAATTGACAATCATTTGTGAATGCTTTAAGATTACTTGCTAATTATAATATTGCCACTTCTTATAAATTAAATTATTTAAGATAAAATAATAAAAATACACTTGTTTGTATAAACGAAACTACTTTGTATTTATTTCTAACTAAAAATCTTTTATATCTATTGAAATTTGAGAAAACTTGTTTTTCTTTAAGTTCAGTGCGTTTTATGAACTCTGCTAAATAAGATGCTAGGAAATTCTATTTGTTCCTCTTCTTTTATTTCCCCTTTAGCTGATCCTCATAATCTTTTGATTTTTTGTGTATTCACTAATGTCTTTAGATTAACAAAATGATATTTATGCTTGACACTTTGATTTGTCAGTTTGAGTTTATATAAATTCATATATCCTTCAATGAATCTGATACAACTACACAATACTAAAGTATTCTTTCGATTATTTCATACAATGTGAATTCCGATCTGTCATTAACTAATTCCAAAAAACGTTCATTGGTATCTCAGCAAATCCCTTTGAAAACCCATTGTTGAGGAATGACGCATCCTGCGTTTACTTCCTTTTTGTTAATAAACTTTCGTATATTTCCACAAATTTACCATATTCCTCAGTACAAGTTAGATTTTTTTCATTTTCTATGTCCACACTCCACTAAGATAATTATTTCAATCAACCGTTGTAGGTTGAGACATTTCTAAATGTTTAAAATAATATTTTATACTTGTTAATTGCTCACACCATAAATAAATAAAGTTTACTGTATTTGCTATACTTATTTTGGAATCGGTAAACCATGTTTCAGTCCTTATTCCGATCACTTTCCCACAATTTCATTTTTAGTGTCTCCAATATATTTTTTTACCAAAATAAAGATTCGTTTCATGGTCGTTTGAATATACCTTCATACTTGGTATAAATTCTTTATCCTGCGCTATTCCTGTTTTGTCATCATTAACCTCACGAAAAGTGCTGTTTAATAATTATCAGGTTACTTTTTAAAATGAATATCAATAGTTTTAAATAACAAAACAATAAACATATGTATTAAATTTTAGATAAATTATTAGTCTATAGTGGTGATACTATAATTAACAAGTGTTGCTTTAAGATATAGGATTTATCCCATTATTTGTTCTTATTAGTCGTTTTCACAATTTTTTTATTAAGGATGAAAAATGATGAGGATATGCAGTCAAAAAATTATGTTTATCGAGTTTACAGATGTTTTGACCCCAACATATGGGCCGTCATCAAGCAATGGTTTTAAGACTGGACAAGAACTGTTGTTAATGTTTTGGCTGCGTATGCTGACCATTTTTCATCTTTACAAATTCAACAGTCACCTATTTTATCTATTTCTAAACTTTTTTTATGATGGTTATAAACTTTTATTTATTTATCTTATTTTATTTATTTATTTAATTTATTTTATGAGTAATGTTATGAACCTCTGCAGAATATAGCATTAAAGAATTAACGTATTGGACAAAAGTTAGTTAATATTTCTATTGTTATTGAATTTGTTTCAGGTCCCGTGATTGATATCAAAGAAGAGGGACTACCAGAGATCTGTTATGGTAAGAAATTTTTTAAATTGGACTACAATTTCAATTTCCGAAAAATTATCAAATTTTTTCCCTTGAAAAAAATGGACCATAGATCTAAATAAGTTATAATCTGATGGTGTGAGGTCTGAACTATATGGTGGATGAGGCAGGAGTATCATATCAGAAGGGTTTTTCAATAAATTTTTAACTTCTTCGCTTATTTTTTAGGAGTAAATTCGTGAGGGACCAGTTTATTACTCATTTTCACCTTTCCCATGGAGAGTAGATAGCGACTAATAGTATCTTTTGACAAACCACACTCTCTAGTAAGTTCACGAGTACTTGTGGATGGATTTGACTCAACAGCTTCCTGTAGAACCTCATCAATATCCATTAATGGTCGCCTGGAGCTCTTCTTCCTTTCCAATGTCGTATCTCCACTGCTAAATTTTTCAAATCAATGCCACGCAGTGCGCTGGTCAATGACACCTTCCCCATCATATTAAATAGTTTTTTGGGTTGCTTCAGCTGCTGTGAAATTTTTTTTTCCAGTAATGTCTTAAAATTATAAGAATTTGGTTGGACACTGTCATGTTTCTTCATTGAAACAAATAACTAAACTGAGTTTTTTTTTTTTAAGAAGTTGAATGGGATTAAACAAGCTTAGATAATGTTCTAAAGGGATTATTAAGTATTGGAATGTATTAAATAGGATTAAAATATTTACAATCCTTTGAAATCTTAAATTTGATACAACAGTAATTTTAAAAAAAAACTAGAAAATAAAATATAAAATTAATGTCCGTGTGGATTGATAGGTATGCTGTGTACAAAGCAACCCTATGTAGTAGGGCAGCATTACTTTTAATAAAGTAATTCTCTCTCTCTCACCCTTTTAACAACCTAGTATTGATATATAATATATAATGTCACAACATTAGATAAATGTGTGAAGACTATATATTTCTTATATATTCATGTCAAATTTATAACTGATTTTTTTAGACTCCGTAGAAAAATTATTAATCATTACTTATTTTTCTTTTGTACTAAATTTGGGAATGTTACTATTCCCTTTGTTATTTAGTTAAAAATAATGTTTACATATTTGTAGATGGACCTATTCATGAGGAACAAGAAGAAGAGTTTATTGTCTCAGATGAAGGTAAAAAAACACGTGTTATAAATGAAATATACACTGAGGTATATAAGTAAGATTTAATAACAGTATTTTTTCTCCTAACAATTTTTCTTTATTTAATTATGACGTTTCGGGATCTACTTTATTGATATCTGACTAATCTGACTAGGCTCTCCCTAGAGGAGTCCACAATATTATTTAAGGAATGAATTATGACAATATAAAAAAAAAAAATATGACAAATCTTATAAAAACATAAGATGATATTAGGATGAAATACTATCTGAAGATGGGATAAGAAAATGGAGTCATAATAAAATAAAGAAAAATTGTTAGTAGAAAAAATACTGTTATTAAATCTTACTTATATACCTCAGAAAAAAATATCTCCCTTAGGACTTATGATGAAATATACATTGTCAGACAAAATGTAAGAATCACTTCAATATTTTAATTTTACTGAATTTTACCCATCAAGCAGACTTGTCTCGCAATGCATCAAGCTTATCCTTTACAAAACCTCATCCGCCCTTTGACTTATGGTTCTGAGACCTGGCTTACTGCAAAGGCAGATGAACCTGCTTGCTTTTGAGAGGAAAATCCTTCGCTGAATTTATGGGCGCACCTGTGAGAATGAACATTGGAGAAGGCGAAGAAATAGAGAAAACTATACCCTCTGTAACGAGCCTGATGTAGTCACAATTATCAATGCAGGAAGATTAAGGTGGGCGGGACACCTCGCACGGATGCCAGAGCAATCAATCCCAAAGAAATAATAACGGAGCAGCAGAGTTCAGCAGGCGCAGAGTTGGGAGACCCAGGCTGCTGTGGTCGGACTGTCGCAGGTGACTTAAGGTCCACTGGAGTGAAAAATTGGATGACAGCAGCACAAATAGGGACGTATGGCAATTGCTTTAAAAGGATTCTTTGTTAGTATGATAAAATAATTTATCAAAAGAGCAAATAAATCGAGAAAGAAAGAAGTAAAATGTATTTTTTAGGAACTTTCATTAAAATAATGCAGTTTATTAAACTATATCATTAGGAAGTACTTCCTCATTTAGTCCTAATCACTTCCAGAATTCTTCTATTCATTCCACCAATCAAGTTACTTACATCTTTTTCCAAGAAGTTTTTCCACTCTTCCACTAAAATTATTCTTAAATCAGCTAAATTTTGAGGGTATATATTGCAGACATGTCTACCAAGCATCTTTCATACTTGCTCTATTTGGTTCATGTCCGGACCTCTGGGAGGCAAAAGCATAACCTCGATCTCTTCTTGTTGGATATAATTTTTTACCAAACAATGAGATCAGGCCTTGTCATTTATCAAAATGAATTTATCCTCTAAATTTCTGGCAAAAAGTATCACATATGGTTCTAGGGTTTCCACTTCGTACCTCAAAGCCGTTAAGTAACCCCGGTCCACAAGAACCAATTCCTTAGTAGAGTTTAAATTTATGCCTTCCCAAACCATCACTGAGCCTCTAAAAACAACCCTTGGGGAAAAATTGCAAGAGTGTATCTCTCTCTCCGCCTTTTCCACACTCTTTCGTGTCCATCTGGATACCTTAGGCGGAATATGGATTCGTCGGTGAATAATACACGGCTCCAGTCTTCCTGAGTCCAGTCTAAGTGTTCCTAGGTGGACCTCGAGTGCTGAACTCGGTGCTCCCTAGAAAGCAGAGATATAGCTGCTCGAGAATGGGACTTTATTCCATACTCGATAAGTCGTCTTCTCACTGTTTGCTTTGAAATTTGTATGCTTCTGAATCTCTGTAGGTGACATAGCAGACTGTTCCTTCATGGAATGGCAATCTCGAAGAGTGTGATTTTGTAAATATTTGTCATAACCACGGGAAGTAGATCTTGGATACCCTTGCCCCCTTCTGGTATACCCTGCAGTCTCATGATATCTATAATTGCCCTGAAAATCACTGTGCCTTTGTGAAAAACCTTATTCTGTTGAAGTAAGAATAGAAAGGATAGATTTCTCTTTAATCAATTCTCTTCTATTTGCCATTAAAATGCCATAAATTACTTCACAACCAAAAACTATTTCCTAAAAAATGGTTACGAACATTAAAATGCATGTACGTATTTAAAACTAATGTAGAACTGTGAGCAAGAGTCCACAAAATGTGATTTTGTTGCCTTCAAGTAGTGATTAATGTTTACAGTTTGATGATAAGATTGATAAAGGGTTACACTAATTCCATTCTGGTACCTGAGAATTGTTTTAATTTTAATTTATATTAATATATATAAAAAAAAAATATACCAAACTTTGTAGGTGATCCTTTAATTTTATCCGACAGTGTATGTTTTGATGTTCTCTGATCTATAATTTGATGTTTTTCTTACTTCTTAGTTTTTATATTATGCCATTTTAGTATACTTCATTACTTTTCATTCATTTATATTAGTTTTCTGTGTCTACAATTTTTATTGTATCTTTGTAATAACATGAAAGGGGAATATTTTCATTTTTGTTTTCTTATAAAATTTTCAATACCATAATTATAATTCATAATTGGTAAATGGTTGACTGTCGTGAATAATGAAGAGAAGAATAGTTGGGGTGATCAGTCAAATAAATAAAAAGGCAAAATAAATAAAGGCAAAAATAAATGATAATATTTATTTTGACATTAGCCGACGTTTCGACCTGAAGTTCAGGCCATCATCAGGGCTGACTGCGGAGATGTAATCTAAGCAATTGGCTTAGATTACAGCAATTCTTTATTTTTGCCTTCTTATTTGACTGATCACCCCAACTATTCTTCTCTTCATAATTATAATTGTAAGAAAAATCATTAGAAGAAAGCCTGACTCTTGTTTAAAATATTCAATTTTATTGAATAATGGAATGACCATTCTAATGGGTAAGTATTAGTTTCATTAACGATGTAGTTTGTTTTTTTACTGTCATAGCTTGATTGCTACCAATTTATAATATTGTTACTCACAAAATCCTTGCGTTGATGAAGTCTTGTATTCATAAAATTAACCAAATATGTTAATCCGTTCCATGCCGATACCTCCAATCTCTATCTACACACCTTCTTCCACTGGCCGTTGTCCAATCCCAGAGCTGCCAGATGAGACTTAACACAACCTTCCCACCTTTGCTTCGATCTACACCATGAATGTTTACCAGTTGGTACAATAAATATAAACCCAACAATTTTACTTGCTGCAATGTGATCATCTCAATTCTATTAACTGGGTACAGTTCGCGCTACTTGGGAGCAGGATGGCCATGGGCTAATACGCATGTAAAATACCCGTTGCCCATATTGACAATTAGTTCATCTGCCCATTACCTAGCGCCACCACATATGGGTGCTCAAGCAATTTATCTAGTAGTTCTATTATTTTAATGTAAAAAACTACAGTACAAACTTGTAAACATGTAACTACAATAAGTATACCTTTTATATATTTTTAAATATAGATATGCAGCGAATGAAAGCGATGAGCCAAACTGACCTTACTTTTAATATTAAAATGGTATGGCCAAAACAACAACAAATCACTTGACGTTTCTGACTATTTCAGCACTTACTAGACAAATGATCTAAGGTTCCAATTAATTACAAAAGACTCATATAGATGGTTATATTAAGGCCTATTTGGACAATTGCAATTGAACTTTGCGGCTCCACTAAACCATCAAATTCCTCTCGTATCCAATCCTTTAAATAAAAAATCCTCAATGCTCCTTACTTTGTTTCAACTAAAATTATCAGAAAAAAAACTTTATTCTGGGACTAAGTCCCTTTAGAATAACAAAATTGTACAAAATAATAGAATACTAATGGTCTAAAAGTTTGAAACAATAAATAAAATTGATAAAATAAACTAAAAAGTAAAGAAAACCTTAGGTGAACAAGCTATACAATACAACAAGACTATGTACAAAACATTTAAAACTATGAACAAAACACTTAAAATTATGAACAAAACTATATATAAAGGTTGAATAACATAAACATATACTCTGAAAAATGAAGAACGAAGAAGAGATAGAATAAGTTCATTTCATAAAAAAACTTTACTTGTTTATATATAAAAAAAAAAAAGTTAGTTATAATTGAATAAAAAAAAAAAAATAGATGTATCAAAATACCTACGTCGAAAGTAGGAAATGCATGTACTATCTCTTACAAAGTATTATCGTATGATTATATGATTGCTACATGATACATATATAGTGTTAATAGTTAGCTGGTATCTGACTGTTTTTGGAAAAGGAGGTTTTTGAATGTAGATAGGGAGGAGGTATGCCGAATTTTGATCAGGATGGAATTCCTAAAGTTGACAGAGCGGGCTATAAAGGAGTTTTGGTATGAGGCAGATCTATGAGAAGGGATATATAGGTCAGAGTGTCGAGATCTTGTAGTGAGGGAATGGATTGAGGACTTAAATTGGAGAAGGTTGTAGGCATAAGAAGGACGATGATCGTTAATGATTTGTTAAAGGAATGTGCCTAGGAAATATTTTCTTCTTAAGAAGGGAAGAACCACCCTAACGCAGTGTAGTGGTGGGAGACATGGGAGCGTCTCGGGGTCCCAATTACAAATCTTATGAAGCTATTCATAAGTCTTTTTATATATTTTGTGAATATATTATTATTCTTATATATTATGAATTAGACATTTAATACCATTTATCCATTGATTCAGCATTTTCTGATTTATAAGTGTGTAATATCCTTAATTTCTCTATGAAGGCTTTTTATCCTAAAAAAAACCCAAAGGATGATTGAATAAATAAGTTCAATTGTAACTTTTTAAAAAACTGAGGACAAAAGCAATTGAATCGGTGTGTGCAGAAACCACTTCAGCAAAAAAAATGTGAAAAATAGTTTTTGATGAAAAGAAGGTTAGAAAGGCAAGATTTGTGTTGAGTGCAAGAACCAAGTTAATCTGTTGAGTAGTTCCGTAAATACATGACGTCTTTTTCGATTGTTGAGCGCAGAAGAAATAACATGAGCCAGTGACTGACGTGGTTTCTGCACTCCCCGCTGGATCGCATGACCAACAGAGATGGGCATATTTATATTCAATAAAAAAAAATATGAATACCATTTATATTTAAGGTACTTATACTTATTTTCATAAAAAGAAATATGAATACAGATGATGCGTATTCACGGCTGTAAATATAAATACGGCTGTATTTACGATTATAAAAGTGAAAACGGCAGTATTGACGTTTATCAAAATGACTACGCTTAAATTTACAGAAGTGAATAGAAATATTTCCACACATCCTTCTTAATGAATACTGTTTTTATTAAAAAAAATATATATTTACTATATGTATAATTTTATTTTTGTAAATAGTATTACATTCTTTGTTTTACAATACGTTATGTGAATTATTACTCGTAATGTTTGTATGTAATATAAATTCCCAACCCTTTTTTTTTGTTGGATCCTTCGCTCCATTCTCTCCCGTACCAGAATGGAAAGTCTGCGTCTATGATCCTAGACGTAGAGACTTTTCGGCGCACTGTTTAGTTATGGGTTGCTAATGACAATAAAGATAAATTTAATGGACGGTCAGAGTAGGAGGTACAACAGTCGGAACGATACTCTGGAAATTCCTAGGGGAAATACTTATACACGACAGCCTTAGGTTGAAGCAAGGAGGCAAGGGCTGTCAAATTTGGATAGTGTACTTTCTGGACCTGCCATTCAGTGTGTTATAAAGTGTAATGTGTGAATATATGTGTCAATGTGTTAGGTTTTGCATATAGAACAATGTATAAAGTTGATAGCGGAACCAAGTCTGTTTGTTTAGTATTTGTATTCAAGTACAAGAGTATTTGTATTTATATTTTTGAATATAAATATGCCCATCTCTGATGACTGGTCTTGTCAGGTACCTGCACTTCTGGTTTTACCGAAGTCTGTTTTGTTGATTCTTTTTTCCTGTTCTATGTTCAATATGTCAGTGGGTCCCACAAGCAGTGAGAGGGATAATGAAACAGCTCCTAAGAAGATGAGGAGGAATGAAGAAAAATATCGAAGAAACGTCATTAGAACCTCTAAAGTTCGTGGTGTTGAACACATCAACTGGGCAGGACGTCTCATCCTATCTCGAACTACAGGTGCTGCTTGTAACTGTAAATTACAATGCTTTACTAAGTTTAGTGACGATGAAAAATCTGAATTTGTTGCTAGTTTGAGTCAGTTCAAATCAAAAGACGAGCAAGATATTTTCTTACAACAACTTATTGAAAAACACGCCATTAAGCACCGTAGGCCTCGTTCCGAACAGCCTAGAGAAACAGCAGCCAGTTTCAAATATTTCTTACTATACAGAGGAGAAAGGAAAAGGGTATGTAAGATAGCATTTATTTCATTCTACGGCATTACTGAGGGCAGGGTTCGAAGGCTTACTGATCTCCTACTAAAGGGTAAATTACCTCAGGATAAACGAGGTAAAAATCCCAAGAAGAACACAATTTCTGCCGAAGTTTGTTCTAAAATACATGAGCATATTTCATCATTCCCCACCACGACTACCTACTATGGCACCAAAGATATCAGTTATCTTGATGCCCGGCTTGATATAAAAAAAATGCATTCCTTGTTTGAAGAAAAGTACCCTGATTTAGGTGTAAAATATGAGTTTTATCTTGCTTATTTTCATGCCAACTTTTCATTACGGTTTGGACGTCCGCAGGTAGATAGATGTCTGCATAAAATGTGAAGAATTTGATGTAAAAATCAAGAACTCCTCTATTGGTGATGCAGCTAAAAGGGCTGCTCTTTCTGAACTTACTATCCACGAAAGAAGAGCCAAGAAATTTTAAAATAAACTTCAAAACGTCAGCAAGTTATGTGTCGAACGTGAAGACGCAGTTGCGCTTTAATTTGATTTTATGCAAAATCTCCCCCTTCCAGCGATTGCAGTTCAGAATATTTTTTACTTGAGGCAACTTTGGGTGAACTGTTTTGGGATAAAAAATATAAACACTGGGGAATCTGAAATATTCCAGTACCACGAAGGAGCCTGATGATATATGCAGCATGCTATTGAAATACATTGACACTAATATTCCATCAAATGGAAAAAATTTCCGATGGCACCTGCGGAGAGAATCAGAATCACACCATGATAAAGATTCTGCCTTGCTCTTACAGATACAGGATGTTTTGAACAAATTTTTCATTATTTTCCGGTTCGAGTGCATTCTTATCTTCTGAACGATCGAGATTTTGGTACTATGAAGAGGATGATATGTAAACATGATCGGATATATACACCTGATGAATATGAAGAGTTGTGTGCTCATTCCAGTAACAACTTTCACATCACCAAGCGACTCACCACTGACATGAAAGATTTTGATGGTTGGTGGAAGGAATATTACACAAAAAAATTCAGTAGCCAAAGAATGTTGAGGGAGATGTGTGCCGAAAGAAGCAAAATTCAAGTTTGCTTCCACTCGATATAAAGAGTTGCGCTATAACTCTAAAGAAATTGTGGCAATCACAGCATACATTTTCATTGAAGGATTACAAAAGCAGAGCTATCAGCTGCTGAAACCTGCTTTCCGGAACGTCAATATTGATTTTCCTTTAAGTATTGCAGCCTACCCATTAGGGAATGTTCCGATCAACATAAAGAAAATGGAAGTCATCAAAAAGATGATTATTCGTATTTCTGAAAACTTCAAATTTTTTTAATGAATTATTTACATGGCCAACCACAGCAAGTGACAATGATACAATCGTCTAGAATGATCTATTTTTAGAGCGTTTCACTTTGTTTTATGATGACTTTGCAATACTGTTACTTCACTTTTGATATAATATAAATAAATATAAATTTTTGTAAAATAAATTAAATTAAAATAAATATAAATAAATTAAATATTGAAAAAATTAAAATTAATATAAATTGTTGTAAAATAAATTGTTAATTAAAAAATATAAACTTTTAATGAATGGTTACCTTTTTCTGAGTTTCCAGCTGTCTATAAAAAACAGTTGCGTGCAGAAACAGTATAAGTCCAAATGAAATTTTTAATTTTCCTAAGCATGATTTATGTTGAAATTATGTAATTTTTGCATAACACCAACATAAATCCATGTTATGACGGAGGGGAAAAAAAATTGAAATATTTAAAAATTTAGAGGAGTTAAGACGTTTTTTCTCTTTTCTGAAAATTTTTAAATTTGTGACTGAAGTGGTTTCTGCACTCACCGATTCAATTGGACTGTCTTTTATACTTAAAAGTTTGTTGATTTCTTATATTTATGTGGTAAATCGATGTCCCACAGAAGTGCCTCGTCTGCTTGTTTAAACTACAACACTGATTAAAGACTATTAAGTTGTTCATTTATTTAACCAGTTCAATAAAAATCATTGAAAACATTATTGATAAAATGTTTATATAAAAAAAAAAAATTGACAATCATTTATATGAATTTAAATATCAAGTCAATGATTTTAGCTACAGAGTTGCTATAACATCCCAGGCATAGAATAGTAAAAAAAACTTTTACAGTTAAAAATATATCTAGGTGACCTAAATAGAACATTTTATTTATTTTTTCTGCTTTTCAAAAATATAACATAAGTTAACTAAATATAATTATTTTTATGCTGTGTAATGGTACTAATAATCGAATATTAACTGTTTGAAATTAAATTATTAAAATTTTATGGGTGGAAGAAAAAGATCTGAAAGTTTATGTTTACATGCTTGTTTATGAATTAATGATAATTAAAAAACAAGCATGATAACATAAATTTTTAGGTATTTTTCTTCTTCTTCATGGACGCTACAACTCATCGCTGAGTCTTGGCCTCCTCAATTAGTATCACCCACTGGTGTCTCTCTCTCTTAGAGCTTTCCTCCAGTTAGCTAGTCCAAGAAGAACTCTACCATCCGCATTGACTCCATCCATCCAGTGCAATCTAGGTCTTCCAACTCGAACAGATTATAAATTGGATGGCATATTATCTTGGTATTGAATCTTAAAGATAATAATACCTCCCACTCAATGATGAAATTGATGAAACATGAAGCATTTCCTAGTTGTGGTATAATTTTCATTGATTTCAAAGAAATTTCTTGTTTATTAATTAATAAATGTTTGTATTATTTTTGGAATCGCGCTGTGTACTTTAAATTTAAAAAAAAAATTTGGTCATAATATAATTAAAATTTGTAAATCATGTAAAATTTCAATTATTATTTTTAATGTAATTTAATTAACAATAAACAAGCAGGTTAATGTCCCAAAAGTAGACCGAGACACAGATGGGAGGATTGTGTTCAGTCAAACTTTCCTGACTTGGGTTTTGATGGAATACAGTGGAAGGTTGGGTGGCATGTAGGAATTACGGATGGTATTGCCATTGGACCTTTAGGTCAAACCAAAACGTGTTTATTTTTAATGCAGAAATATTTATTGTTTTTAGGAGCCAAAGATTTTCTGCACCAGGAAAAGGAGAACAAACAGGATGATTTGGAATCAACGATTAACATCAACATGAAAGAATGCGTAATCCCTAATATAGCCGAGAACTCTCATAAATGTCCTTATTGCGAATATAGAGTTGTCAAAGAAAGTCTTATAAAAAGACATATAATGACCCATCATATTGGTAAGAAGTTTTATAAATGTCCTCATTGTGATTACGAAACTGTGGAACCCTCTAATTTGAAACATCATATAATGGCCCGCCACACAGGCGATAAACCTCATCAGTGTCCTCATTGTAACTACAAAGCCATAAAAAATAGTCATTTGAAGAGACATATAATGGCCTGTCATTCGATTGAGAAGCCTCATAATTGTCCTCAATGTGACTATGGAACAGTAGAAGCAAGATCTTTAAAAAAACATATAATGAGCCATCACACAGGTGATAAACCTCATCACTGTCCTCATTGTGATTTCAAAACAGTAGATGCAAGTACTTTAAAAAAACATATAATGTATCGTCATACAGGTGAAAAGCCTCATGAGTGCCCTCATTGTGACTTTAAAGCAGTCAAGTCATCTATTGTTAGGCGCCATGTAATGGCCCGTCATACAGATGAAAGACCTCATAAATGTCTCCTTTGTGATTATAAAACAGTCGGAGCAAGTATTTTAAAACAACACATATTAGCTGTTCATACAGATGAGAAGCCTCATAAGTGTCCTGATTGTAAATATGAAACTGCAATACCTAGTCGTTTGAAATATCATATAATGGCCCGCCACACAAGTAATAAACCTCATCAATGTCCTCATTGTGACTATAAAGCAACTCAAATCGGTACTTTAAAAAGACATATATCATACCTGCATACAGGTGAGAAGCCTCATAAGTGCCCTCATTGTGAATATGCAACAGCTAGAGCTTGTAATCTGAAAGATCATATAATGTACCGTCATACAGGCGAAAAGCCTCATAAGTGTCCTCATTGCGACTTCAAAGCTGTAACAGTATCCATCGTAAAATGCCATATAAAGGCCCGTCATACAATTGAGAAGCCTCATAAGTGTCCTCAATGTGAATATGAAACAGCTGCATCTAAAACTCTAAAAAATCACATAAGGGCCCGTCACACAGGTGATAAACCTTATCAATGCCCTTATTGTGACTTTAAAAGTGTAACAGTAAGTAACTTAAAAGTGCATATAATGTCCCGTCATACAGGTGAAAGGCCTCATAAGTGTCCCCACTGTGACTATAAAACTGTCCAAATACATGTTTTAAAAAAACATAAATGCACTGGCCTACAAGTAAATAACCTCGTATCATGAATGTTTCCATTGTGACTATTATATTATTATTATTATTATATTAATAACAGTACATAAAAGTTCTTTGAAATGACATATGTTAGATATCTTTTCATGTTTTTTTGTCATACATTTATGAGTGTGTCCACTAGTTGGGAAAGTCAAACATTTTTTATGGTATTGAAAAACCAGGAATTAGTTGATGAGTCACAGAAAATTATAGAAAAGTTATCTTGAGTTCTCAACTTTAATATAGACTTCCTTCAATATAAACTGTGGAATGGCTGAATTTTTACTGTCAAAGGAATGAGTCTGGTAAGATTGTTTAGCCAGACAGAAAGAGAAATATACAACAGCGTAGTGCTTTCAATGAACTAATATAATTATTTTAGTCATGGCAGGCAAATATATATATATTTAGGTACTTCTTGTCTAGGGGGCCGTTTTGAAACCTCACTTCTTATCTATCTTATCTAATGTCACGTCATATAACCTCCCTCTTCTTATCCCGCCAAACTTTTGAGTTATTGCATTGTTTAGTTTTCAGTTATTCCCTTACTACGTTCACTTATTAAATTCTTTACTTTTGGCCCGTTTGAGTTTATTTTACATTTTTTTTTTAGTTTATGGCCCCTTGGAGTTTATTTTTCATTTTTTCCGTTTATTTTCTTCATATTATGGATCTTCTTAGAACCTAGCAAAGTGGTTGAAGTAGACAAAAGTCATTTTTCGAAATGAAAAAATCATGTGAGGAGAGTTTTACCTCAGCAGTGGATGTTTGGTGAATGTTTTATTGTCAAAATAATTGACAGAAAGGCAACAACCTTATTACAAGCAATTAAAGAAAATATAGAAGAGGGAACGACCATTTATTCGGACTGTTGGAAAGGATACAACACTCGACAACTGAACGAAGCAAACTATGACCATTTCCAAGTGAATCACTTTCACTCAAGTGAATTTTGTCGATCCATCAACTGGGGTTTATACTCAACATATAGAACGATTATGGGGCTCAGCGAAGTGAAGAAATAAAGTAAATAGAGGAACTGCCAGACAACACCTCGATTCATATTTGTTGGCGAGCTCACAGAGAAGAGGACCCGTTCCTCGCTATTTTAAATAGCATAAAACAATTTTGCCTTCCAAAATAAATAAGAGAAAAGGAAGTGAATAATTAAGTGAAAATATTTTGTACATATATTGTTTATAGTGTTGATATTTTTTCTTTTTTATGTAAATATGTTCTTTTAAATGTGTTTTTTTATTATTTCATTTTGATGTTTTATATGTACATATCTTCTTAAAGTGTTTTTTTTATTATTTCATTAATATATGTGTCGTCAAATAAAAGTATTTTTTTTTGTTATTGTATTTGTTTTTGTATCTGTTAACACTTTCAATAATACGAATTTAATGCAATAATACGAAGATATTAAGTAGGAGAAGGGTTATCACTGCATTATGGGAGTTATCAGTGTTCAGGTTATAAACATTGGCAGATAGCAGTCAGGAGCGGCCCCCTAGACAAGAAGTACCTATATTTATATTAAGGTCTTAGTTGTCATGAATTTAATTAATAATGCATTTATTTTGGTTAATTATTTTCAAGAATAAATTTTTCCAAACAATTAAAGAAAAGAAAATATCTCCTCAGTTTTCTCCGAGACTAAAAGAGCATTTTGTTTTAGAATGACAAATGATTAGAAGTTTCATACTGCTAATATAGAAATTGTACTTTCATCTTGTAGGAGTTTCCTGGGTTGAAAAGAAGTGTCAAACAAAATCAAAATGGCCTTCTAGAAATCGACATTTCTCTCTTTCCTTCCGTACTCTTCAGAGTTGTGGACCCTAATCTCAAAACACAAGCGCTGATTTAATCCATAGTAATGCATTACCTTCGCAAGGTAGAAGGAAAGGCCTGATGATATAAGATCTGGAACACCATTGGATAAGATAATACCACTTTATGGGCCAGCCTCAAAGTTAAAATTGTTAGGACCATCCTAGAGGAGCACAAAATAAAACAGATATAGACTTAAAGAGCAAAATTTTATTGTCGTAAATTTTGAAATTGCAACTTTTTTGTATTGCTGAACACATGGATCTGATGTTTGCTAACAGAAATTTTGCCTGGGATCCTTAATTTTTTTTTCTTTTGGTTTGGGTGGCAAACTGTTGGCGCCAGAACATCACTATATAATAAATTTAATATAAACAATTTTTTTTTTTTACATTTGGTATCATTAAAGTTTTTCTCTACTATCAACTGTTAATAAAATCAGTTTACAGCTCTTTTTATGTCCGATTTCTGTACAAAATATAAATATTACGTGTCTGTTCTACATCTCATTATGCTTCATGGAAAGTATATTCCTATTTGTAAAACTGTGTTTTTATTATACAACAGTTAACTTTGAATTAAACATGCCAAAATGCACTGAAAATATGTGAAAATCAGTTGGCAAACTCACAAATACATGTCCCCTGTTATATTTAGAATGTTTTAATTTATCTAATAATGATTAATTCTAAATAACGTATAGAAAGTCAATGGGATTAAAATAGGTTTAATAGAGAAAAGGGGAAAGGCAGTTGTTCGGATTACTGTCAATATATAACTAACTGTTATATTTAATCCCTACGTTCAAATAAAATAAAGTTGAGTACTGTGAAATCGAAATAAACTAATTTTTATTTCAACACATACTTTACAAAGAGATTTTTTATAATTTGAGACTTTTAGGGCTTTTTACAATAATAACAATAATTATTTACAAATGAATATTTTTAACAATGTGAAATTATTTAAATATTTATAAAATAAAAATCACTTTTGACTGACTTCCTAACATTTTCCCACCTGAGGAGTTTTGATTTGTTTAACTGTTTCAAAAATAGTAAAACGAAATCGAAAGAACTCTTTTCAGTGTTCCTCTGTTAGAGTTCCTTTTTTTTCTCTTTCTCTTTTTTGATTGCTTCTTATTCTTTGAAGTATTTTTTTTTACCAATTCTATTGATTTGGTCGGTAGTAAGGCACTATGCATTAGTTCTGGAGCAACAGCCATGTCAGCAGCTGATGAATTTTGAATATCATTTATATTTTGAATTCTAAGGACATCAAATATATCTTTCTTCTCTTTTAATATTTCTGGTGGCAATTTATTAGGATGAGTATCTTTCAAATCATCGTTAGCTCCTACCTTCATTAAGCTGAGATTTCTTTCATATCTTACTTGTTTTGATATACAACATATAAATCCACTTTTCATGTACTTTTGTGTGAACCATGTTTATGAAACAAGAAATTGAACCCTTTTACAGCATTCTGTTGCATATTAATATTTGATAATAAAGAAAAATTTTACTGACAAAAAATAGAAATTTTTTTTTTATTTAAACTTTTTATATGAAGGTCTTCAAAAAAACACAACAACAATAGTTTATGAAATACAGATGAAAAATTAAATAAATTATCGAAAAAAAAGGTTGCAGTAAAAATTTCTGTAAGTATATTTCAGATTAAGCAACCAACAAAATTAATGACCAAAATAAGACTTTCCCTTTTTTTTTTCTTTCTATATTGCTTAAACAAAAAGTGTTTAGTACTCCTTATGATATATCGTGAAACAACCAATATTACTACTAATCGATTGTTGATAAAATTTTTTTTTTATATTTGTTTATTTAGAAATATTACATTCTGTCACATCAAGGACATTTATAATAGTGTTCAGAGAAAGCATACTCACACTCTATTTACAATAAAAAAAAATAATAATACAGAAACTTAATAATAATAAATACAGTAAAATAAAATAAAAATAAATACAATAAAATAAAATAAATGTATATAAACAAAAGAACTAACCTAATCATACACACTCGGGCTTGAGTGGAGGATCTGGCCATTGCTAAAACTCCAATAGATGCTTATTTACAAAAGGTCTCTGGGCCACTGCCGCTTCAACCTTCGAGGAGGATTGTAAGGATGGGTGGTGCTGGATAGAGATTGTGCAAGGGGATTTGGATGATAAGTAAGGTTCTGGTGAAATTTGGAGAATTTTTCTGGAATAAGGTCTAGGACAAATGGGATATTAAGGTCATGGTGTAGGATTTTGTTATTTACATAGAACGGAGCATCAACTATTGTTCGAAGGACTTTAGATTGAAAGGATTGAATACGTTTGATGTTAGAAGCTTTTGCTGTCCCCCACAGTTTGATAAAAATTAAATAAGTAAATAAAATAAAATCATATGGGTTGTCCTGCTCCTACGAGTCCAATAGAAATACTAGAAATCTACCCTGATAATGACCCACAAGCTTGGATTGAAATGTTGGCATGATAAATCATGAAAAAATCATCAGAAGATTTACGAGGTAAGGAGTCCTATTGTAAGATACCACATCTTCTGGTAAGACAGTAATCAGAGAGGTGTTCAGGAAGTGAGGTATAATTTAGTGTAGAGAAGGTCCAAAATTAGGACACCTATTCCAGACTCTGCACATGGTAGAGTCCGTCAAAGATCAGATTGAGTTTGAGGGAGAGAGATAAGCGCAGTGGCAAAGCATTCTCACTCTTTTTTTTCTCTACAAATTCGAACCTACTTTTTTTTTTTTTTTTTACAAATAGAAATTTCTTTTACCATTTTTTTATAAATTTTCGTTTACCCTGTCAAGTAAACTGACAAAAATGTAATTATGTCTGTATTTAAAATCATGAAAACAGAGGCTGAGGGTTGTCAAATCCAGTTTCCTCTGTTTCCAAGGCTACTGGTTTATCTGAACATAACTTTGAGAAACGTTGTAAAAGAGCTAAATTACTTCAAAATTTAGATTTCAAATAGCTATATATTGAACATAGCGAATAAGCTTTCAAAATTTCTATGAGGTGCTGAAAGCAAACTTACAATATGCTGACACCAAACACATCAAAGGATAATGTCAAAAAGGTGGATCTCAGGTACCTGCAAGGACCGAGGGGCCTGAGGAAAGCCGTTCCTTATAGTAACTGGTAACTAGTAACGGGTTGAGTAACTGGTTCCGTTTAGGGTGTGGCCAGTGAAAATAATTGTACACCTGAAGTTCTGAACCAATCAAAACCATCCCTACCGTGAATATTTGTATAGAATCTCCCAAGTAGTAAGAAAATGAGGCCTTATGTATTTTTCCGGTCTTGGAGACTGAAGTGGCACAGCTACCTACAGATGGACGTCTTGGCTGAGTTCGGACCTGGACTTTGATTGGACAAGAGGAGATTCAATCAGCAGATGCAGTGAAGAAACCTAATAACTACACCATCTTCATAAAACATACCTAAGTTTTATTCCAAATAATAGATTTACTAATGTTAGAATATTTTATGGCAATACAACTCTCAAAACAGTCCATCTGAAATCATACCTTCACAGTCATCGATTAAATTCATTGAATCATGTATTTAGTTTCTTGTAAATATAATTTGTATATATACTTTATTAAACATAAGAATAAAATAAGTTTTTTAGTAAAAGTTATTTTAATTCTGCCATCCATTTATATCATGGTGATCACAGGTAATGTTGGTAATTAGATAGCATGATAAACACAAACCAGCCTTTGAGAAAAAAAATTCAATTCATTAACCCTGGATCAATCAATATATTAAAGATTAAATTTATCCAACTAATTTTTTATTATTAATTTTTATTAAACATTCATGGGTAATCATCAATAATTATTCAGTGGCATCCCGCATAAATTCCACCCCCAAAAAAATAACATTTCAAAATGGATAAAATGTGGACATAATCGAAAAGCTTGGATCGAGAAAAATGATATCCGCCTCAAAAGCTCGAATAATAATAGGATATGGTGGAATGGCTAAAAATGAAAAAAAAAAAAATTGTTTTCTCCTGGAATGTTAAAGCCTCAATTGTACAAACTCATAAGAATTAAAAAGAATTTTCATAATAAATATTAATTTGATGAAATTTTGAAAGAATCTATTATCGACATCATTCAATTACTACCAGATTTTATTTTAAAAAATATGGGTCAATATAAAAGAATATTTTGCAAAAAATAATATGGAGCTAAAAATAGAATAATTATCCAACATAATAAATAAAAGGTGCAATACGATAGTTGCTGATGATTGGAAAAAAGTGTGCAACCACTCTTTCTTATGTGAAAATGAATTGAAAAATTAATTACTAAACTGATTTGACTGACATTTTATTATTTGACTGCATGACTTGGATTCAGAATCTGAAGTTTTGAATTGTGATTGTGATTTTGAATCAAATGAAGATGGAGTGTATTCTAACTAATAAATGATAAAATGAATGAAACTATGAGTAAATTCCATTTAATATAATAGCTAGGGCTCGGACTTTAAGGATTTATCTGTTTCAAGGATGATTTTTTCTGTTTAAGGGAAAACTGAGATATCATAAGATCTATTCCGATCTTGACTGTTATATTTAAAATACAATATAGTTAAATGAGACTAAGTTTTACAAAAGATTTATTATGAATACAACAGAGAACACTACGTCTAAGATCTAATTACAGGGCGATGCTCTAATGATGCAATGATTGCTATGGCTGAGAAATGGTGGGGATATATATATAAGTACTCGGGTGTATTATTGTTTGCTGTATCCTGTAATAGATCTTCTACATCGATTCCTTCTTTAAAATATAATTCAGTATATAAGTAAGAATATTTTTTTCCCAGTGAATTATTCTTCCATTTATTTCACTCAATTACATCATTACATCACAACGTTTCGGGATCCACTTATATCCCATCTTCAGACTGTATCCCGCATCATCTTGTCAGATACTGAATAAGTAATAGGCTCTCCCTTGAGGAGACTAAAATAGGAATTCCAGCAATGGGACAATAATAAAACAATTTAATTAATAGGACAAGTCTTGTGGAGAATAAGATGATGCGGGATACTGGTAAGATTGGCAAGATAAAATAAAAATTAAATTATTGTTGTTTTTAGTTGTATTAACAAATGCTTTATTGTTCATATATATTATTGTTGATAGCGATTTGTTGTAATTTCTAGTCTGAAGATGGGATATAAGTGGATGCCGAAACGTTATGATGTAATTGAGTGGAAAAAAATGGGAGAATAAATCACTGGGAAAAAAATATTCTTACTTATATATCTAGAAAATAAGTATCTCCCTTAGGATAAATGAAGAAATAATTCAGTATTTCTTGATGATTCATCAGAAACATGATTAGTTTTACTTTGAATATGTTTGATGTCAAACTCGAACTCCTATAATTTCCAGATCCATTTCTTGATTCTGCTATTTCCATTTTTCATCGGAAAGACCTATATTAGTGGTTTGTGATCTGTTTGCAACAAGAATTTAGATCCATATAAAGTAGGGTTTGAAATGTTGAGTCGAGCAAACAATTGCTATTAATTCTTTCTTGATTGTACTATAATTTTCTTCAGATTTTTGTAAAACTATTGACGCAAACGATTTAGGGTGTTCTATTCCTTCTTCTATTTGTGATAATACTGCGGCAATATCTTTGTTGATAGCATCGATTGTGAGAATAAATTTTTTGTCCCGATTTGGATAAGATAATATTGGGATGTTTGACATTAATTCAATTAATTGTTCACATGCGTTTCTAAATTCTTTTGTATGAATACCCGAATTTATAGGTTTCGCAATTTTTTCATAATTTTTAATAAATTTTCTGTAAAATCCGCTCATTCATAAGAATTGACTGGTTGATTTTTCATGAATAGGTATTGGAAACTTTTGTATTGCTTCAATTTTTTTTCGGATCGGTTCTAAGACCTTCTGGTGTTACTGTGTATTCTAGAAATATTATTTCATATATGTTTTTTATTTTCACTTACCTATATATGAAATAAATAGTAAGGGACAGTATTGTGATTGTTAAAATTTTCGAATCTGAGTTTTCAACGGAAACTTTTTGAGGTCCCCTGTGCCCAAATAACTAAGTTCCGCAAAATGGTGTGTGTGTATGTGACAGTTCTAGCTCAAAAATGAAAAGTTGTATAAAAATGAAATTACATTTTTAAGGTTTGTATATACCTGAGATGTTTTCATTTTGTAGGAAATCGAGAAAGCTTTCGAATAAATATTGGTATTATCATTAAAAAAATGTGTACTTTGAGTTATTCGCAAATACAATACTGAATTCATCATAAAAATGTATGCAGCTTGTTTTCGTGAAAGTATGTTATATACACATACATGTAAAGGTTTCAAGGGGAAGACTTTAGCCAAGTTTCATTGAATTCGTTGAAGCCGTATTGGCGCTACAGTCTAAAGCGAATCACGTTTTTCGGCCGCCATTTTTAAAGGAAAGGCCCGATGATAATGAAACGTATACAAAAAAATTTCTAAATATTATTACGACGTTGTGTCAAAATTTAAAAGAAATCGATGAAGAACTTTCGGAGATAAGCCGTTTTGAACAAACTAACATTTATATTTTTATTCACATACTATTTAATATTTTTATTATTGATAACACTAAAGTTTGCCAATATCTATTAAACATAAAAAGAAGGAAGAAAATCGGTTGAATAGAGGAGTAATAGGGGATGAACCGATTTGTGTTTGCATATTTATATTATGATAAATAAAGTTGTGGAAGGTAACGAAGAATGATGAAACAAATATAAATAATAATTTCTGAAAACTAACGTTATTTAATTTAGATCACATGTTTCCAAGGAAATTAAATGAGATTTTCTTACTAAATATAATGTATTTACTATGTATTACTTAATATGTAATAGAGGCGAGAAGACGTCATTTGGGAAGAGAGGCTTACTACATTAAAGACTAAGAATATCAAAATTAGCCTACATTATTTAATTAATGTAAATTAGCCTACAGCTATAAGACTTTTATACATTAATTTATTACAGATGTTAAAATAATAAATTGTTTTATTATACAGGTGTAGTAGACATCCCCCTGTATTTACTCCTTTAGATGACAATGTGTGAGGGAATGAGAAGGTATATATAATATATAGGAATGTGAGGTTGCACTGTGAATTGTACTCAATTGTACAGTGGACAAATTGCTCATTGGAAAATCTGACATCGATAAAGAATCGAAAAGAAGAAAAGGTCCGATCAGGTAGCTGGCAACAGATGGCGAGGACGACGCCAAACACTCGAGGCCTGGACACCAACACAAGAAGACGTCATCTGGGAAGAGAGGCTTACTGCATTGAAGACAGAGATTATCTAGCCGACCGTTCACTTATATATATTCATTTATTATCAGTTGTCAAAATAAATTGTTTTATTATACCGGAGTGAATAGTCCTTTTATTTAGTTTTCCTATAGGCCTCACGATTGAAGAATAAACCAGGTGAGTCAATTCATTCAGCGTTTACTAAGTCCCACATTTCAAATATATATTCTTATTGTTTCTTCTCACTCAGTGTCACAAAAGGTATTAGATTTCCGAATTCCCAATCACAGATAAACACCCTCAAAAAGTCGATATCCAGTGCTGGGGTTTTGTTTTAATAATTCACGAGTGTAAATAGCCTAAATCCCCAATAAAAAGCGGAAGGCTGTTCGCCAATTCCCGGCAAAAAACAATATTAACATTTTACTTTATTTGGTTATTTACAATATTTTGACGAAGTCATCAAGATATTACTGCCGTTGTATCTCGAAGATTTCAAAATGTACCGTTTTTTTTTAGATTCTCATCGAAAGCCTGTAGTAGATACACTCCAGTATTTACTCCTTTGACATTGAGAATGAGAGAATATATAGGAATGTGAGGTTGCACGATGAATTGTAGTCAATTGTTTAGTGGACAAATTATTCATTGAAAAGTCTGATATCGATAAACAATCGACGAAGGAGGAAGAAGATTGGAATAGGACGGAGCAGGTAGCAACAGCTGGAGAAGGATGCCGGAGAGAAGAGGACAGAAAGGAAGGAGGTTGTCAGAAGAGAGTGGCACTGCACTGAAGATTAAGAAGATCAAGCCTACAGTTATAAGATTTTAATATATTCACTTATTACAGTTGTAAAAATAAATTGTTTTGTTAGACAAGAGTGAATAATCATTTATTTATTTAGTTGTCCCATAGCCCTCACAATTGAAGAATAACAAACCAGGTGATTCAATTCATTCAAAGTGTATTTACTCAGTCCCACATTATATATATATATTCTTATTAAGGAAGAAAACGGTCCGGCGTTGCGGTCATAAATAGGCTAAATAGTGGTAAAACTATTTTATTGAAAGCCAACGTTTCGATCCGACTTTGCAGGTCTTCTTCAGGGCTAGAAAAGATACAAAAAAGATAGAAAACTGTGGCAGTTACACAATATTTAGACAAAATTTATAAACAATGTGAATAAGCTTATTAAAATTATAAACAGTAAGTACAATAAAATATGAACAAAGTAAGCTGAGAGACCTATAGATCCGGAGCCTCAACATCTACCGAGAAAGTCAACACGAATGAAGCTACTTCCGTTGTATTTGCATGATTATCAACTTTAGACTTTATTATTATTGAACTTTATTTTAGTGAGGGAGACTAATATAGCCTAAACAATTACCATATATTTACTTATATTAGGATTAATGTACGTCATATGTTTCTAGTAGTATTATTCAATGTGTTGATATGTGCGTATGTTAAAAATAAAAGTGTATAAATTTCAATTTTTCTATTTCTAAGAATAAGAGATATTCCCAGAATTTTCAACAGTCACAACAGTTAGCTCGCCCATTTCTTCATTGTCAGTCACCGCAGATGTACCGGAGGGCCCTCGAGATAACAAAAGATGTAAGCTGGCACAAAACTATTTTTTTACACAATCGTTATAACCTACCAATCCATTAAGATACAGTCCACTGCTTAAAATTAGAATGTTGCCCACAATTTAGAACATTACCTTATTGAAACTCATGATAGTTATTTTTCCATAATTAGAAAAGTTGTCTAAACAAATTGCATTGCCTTGAATCCGTGGATTTTAAATAATTTTTTCAAACTTAAAATATTTTAAAAGTTTAAGGGGACCCTACACGGTAATTCATGAATGAACGTCACAAGAAGTTCCAAGATTGCCCGCAATCGCTTTGATCATGAAGACCCTTACGCGTTCAATCATTACTGATCATTACTTATCGTTGCCGATACCAATTTAGCTCAGTTGTAAACAAAGAAACAGCATAAATATGCTTATTTGGACATTGTCATTTATAATATTGGGCATCAAGAGAAAAACGGAGATATAATAATTATTTCCTAGTGCCTGAAAATCGTTTAGACCAAAGTTAGAAAAATATAAGTCAAGTACATACAAAAATCTAGGAAAAGTATTGCGAAAATAATCAATTTGTTAAGAAAAATGGAAAAATTAATGGCAAATAAACACAACAGTTAAAGATTTTTTTTCTATAAGTAAATTGTGAAGTTTCCACTTTTTTCTCTCTTCAATTTATTGCCTACTTGACTATTTAAAGAAAAAATAGTTTAAAATGGTTAATAATAATATCGGCTAGGGATATAAACAACTATTTACTTAATGATGAGACCTAGGTAAACTAACCTATCTAGCAGTAGTCTCATAGAAGGTTAGTCTCATAGAAAATCGTTTTGACAAAAGTTAGTAAAATATAAGTCTACTACTTACAAAAATTAAGGAAAGGTATTACGAAAATAATATATTTGTTGAGGAAAATGGGAAAAGAACTGATAAATATACACACCGTTAAAGTTTTTTTTTTTCCTAAAGTAAATTGTGAAGTTTCTTCATTTTTTTTTTTAATTTCTTGCCCACTTGACTATTTAAAAGAAATAGTTGAAGATGGTTTAAAATTATAAACAAGGGATATGAAAAATTATTTAACTATTTACATATAATGAAAATCAGAAATTTATAATGGTCGTGAGGCGTAGGTAACCTAACCAATCCAGCAGTATGGTTAGTCTCCCCACTATTTTTACCTCAGCCCCCCCCCCTCCACTTCTCGTTAATGAACCTTTGATTTCCGGATGTTCGGAAATCCGCAGCGCACCACCATCAGTACTTCATTCACTACCTTACACGACAATTCGGAACGTCATTAGTGCAATTCCGAATGACCGTGTAGGGTCCCCTTTACATTATGGTAAATTTCATTTAATTTCCATGAAAACATGTGATTAACTTTAAATAATATTAGTTTTCTAATTATTATTTTTATTTTTTTCTCTTTTATTCAATTACGAAATTCTTTTAAAAGTTATATTTAGTATTTTTTAGTAACTTTTAATAATGTGAGATGATTAATTATGTAAAATGAACCATATTAAAGGTACTTTAGAAAAAGACGTATATGAACATTTAAGCCCTGTAAAGTGACAAGACCTAATTGATGTTAAAGAACACTTAATTATATAATGATACACTGAGTTTAATCAAAATCGTTAGAGCCGTTTTTGAGAAAAATGTGTTTCACCATTGATATAAAGTGGCACTTCCCGTTAGCTGATTTTAAGGAAAAAGTTGCTGTCAGATCTAAGGTGATATAAGTTATATACCTATCTACGTCATATCGGTTTCGTACAACTTTTCGTTTTTGAGCTAGACTGTTAATATATACAGATACATACTAACACACAGAGAATTTTGCGGTACTTGTTTATTTGTACTCTGGGTACCTCAAAACATGTATTTCTATTGAAAACTAAGATTCGAAAATTTTCAGGATCGCAATACTTCCTCTTACTATATATTACATAAATAGGTAAATAAAAGTAATAAGTGCTGTCACCTAGATGAAAATTAAACTACCACATCTAGACGAATATCCGACTGAAATTAATAATTAATATTTAACTAATAAATGTGATGTTTTTCTGCGAGAGCTTGCAATAATGGAACAAAATGATTTTTTGTGTGTAAAATAAAATATTACACGTTCGCTAAAAAAATTTTACATAATAGAGAACATTTTAATTCTTATTTAATTATTCCTATATTTTATTTAAACATTTGTTATTGTATATTTTAAATAAAATTTTAATTTAATTGTTGTCAAAGTGTTTCCACGTTTCCATAGATTTTTGTTAAAAATTTCTGATTATTAATAAAAATTATCACTCTTCCTCTTAAATTTGCCTTATATAGACGTATGAAAATGCTAAAAAAGGTCATCCTATCCACCATCGCGATTGCTGGGGCTGGGACTGCCCTCTGGTTCCTCTACAAGAGGAGCAGCGCCAAAGAGGAGGAAGAATTAGATCTCGAGCCGCAAGTAAGTATCTTATCTGTTACAGCTATATTTTCCTAAAACTGTTTAGTAATGTATGTTTGAGTTTTAAATAAAGATAAATATAAATATAATACATTTTTTTTTTAATCCAACCTTAAATATTATATTTTAAAATAATGATATTGGGTCATTTAGTTAAAATTTAATAAACTACATTAATTTTAATTTATTCTTTTTTTTTTTTGGATAACATTTCGATCCCTTCTTTTTTTAAACGAACAATGGCATCTTTTTGACACATAGCATCAACACTCCAAGCCAGGAACATGCCTACAGCCTCAGCACGGACATCAAGCACTTTTACTGATTACCTCCAGCAATTGATTTTCTCATATCCAATAAAAGTTTTAAAAGAAGGATAATTTGGAACAGATAAGCATATATCTTTTCAAAATAAACCTTCCATTAGTTTGCTTTAGAGTCTACAAGCGATGGCTTGTAAATTTTCGATTACAAAACTTACCAAAACATGTGGTAAAAACTCCTTTTTATAAAATTATCAACATTCACCTCAAACTTCGTAAATTGCTTCATCTCATGGTAACCTACAAATATTTTATTTACGATAATCCCAGAATTGATGCGTTATCAATCTGGAGATCTGCAAACTTTTTCTATTTAAATTAGGTACTAAAAACGGATAAATATCAATTTATTTTCCATTTGAAATTTAAAATAATATGAAATCAAAATCGAATAAAAAAGGTGGCCTACAAAAATATTGATCCGTTTGGCGCTACCTCCACTCCGAATAAGTTAAAATAAGGAAGCTATATAGACAAAATTAAATATTTTTGTTGGCCACAATTTTTGTACGATTTTGAAATCATATTATCTACCTAATTAAATAAATAAAGTTTACCGATCTCCAGATTGAAATCGCCCGAATTTTGAAAATTTTCGGAACACAAAATATTTGTAGGTTACGATGAGATGAACCTATTTATTAAGTTTCAGGCGGATGTTAATAATTTTATAAAGAAAGGTCTGTGCCACGGACTAGGTGAAGCAGCATGTTTTGTTGATTCGTTTCTTCTTGATTGAAATTGATCCTAAAACTTGAAATTTCCATCCTCTCCATGAATGTTTTCATAAGCTCCTCTGTCACTGGTTGTAAGACGGGTGCCAGGAAAAATAATGAATAATTACAATCGAGTTGCTGAGAGTATATTATGTTGTTCAACATGCATGAAACTATATCTACAAGCTAAATTACATTAAAAAATTAATAAATATAATTTACTAAAATACTAACTACAATAAATATAATAACATTCACAATAAATAGAAACTCACTAATAAAACAATCTATCAAAATAACAATGTGCATATAAATAACTAAAATAACAATTACAACATGCGCATGCTAGCTAGATATATTTCTATATAACGATACTTAATAGATAGTTCGAGAAATAAATATGATAAAATAATAACACAGGCAATAAATAGTCCCAACCAAACGTCAACCTCCCGAAAGTATCGTATTCTTTGACGTCCTAGCAAGATATCCCCACTGAAAAATAACAACTATATAATTTCTCCATGTCAATCGATTCATAAGGTCGATAGGAAACCTCATTACTGAACTACACGTGATAGTTTAGTTTGCATGTGAAAGGTATCAGTAAATGTGTTACCTGCTCGTGGGGATTTATCCTAATAAAGGTGTATTCTTCTGTTGGCTTCTTCATCACACAATGCAGTGCTAGCACGGGAGACATTCACTAGTGCTAACCTTCACCATTTTTCGAACCTTCATACGGTTTCCTCAACTCAGTGTTGCCACCGGTCATAGTTCGCAGCTCCTATCCTCCAATATAGAACACCTCCCTCCCCCTCTCACACTGGTATTGAAACTCTTTTAAACTTTTTTTTAAACCATAAGCATCCGTTTTAATTATTTCTTTGTGATCTTTAGCTGGCCGTAGTTCTTTCGGTATCGCATATACGTTATATTCACTATTGGGTATAGAGGTAATGGAATAAACGTTTGACTTTTCATCACTCCCAGCAAATAACGTTGTTTGTTGTTTCGATGTCTAGGCGCAAAACATCTAGGTCATCAGCGTCCGATCAATTAAATAACACTATAACGTATAACCTAAATAACACAAATAACGTAAAATCAAAAGAACAAATTTCGTAAACAAAAACGTTGCTTTGTACCTAAAGAAAAAACATTTAAAGTGTTTCTTACAATCTATGAAATCATCTTTTTTAACAATACATGTTACAATATGTTAGCACAATTTTAAAATGTTATCAATTCACATATGTTATCATATAACTTTCCTTTTGGAGCTAGACTAAATTCAGTAATAAGAAAAATTACATTTAATTAAATTTGTTAAATAGACTGTGATATTTATATATGATATAAACATATATGATATATTTCACTCCTGTGATATTGTGCCTCAATTCTAAAATGTGTTTGACAACGAATAAAGATTTATTAGTATTTGTAATTTAAATAAAAATATATTGAAATATTGCCCAACAATATTATTGACAATCACACGTGCGCGCGCGCACTCATACACACACAAATTTATTTATTTATTTAATAATTTTGTTTTCTTAAAAGCCTCATGCATTAGAAGATGAAGCTCAGGAATTGGTAGAACAAAGGAACATCGCAGTTCAAGGTGAAACAAAACCGAGTGTAAAAAGAATGGTAATTATAAACTTCTTATTTTATAATTTAAAATAGAATTTTATTTATTTATTTAAACATAAAATAATCTGTCTCGTAGGCAATATTAAGTAATTCTTGGAAAATATAAAGCTAATGAATATAAACATTATATTTTATGTTATATATTTAATACTTATAAATGAAATGTAAAAGTAATCGTTATCATGATCTATTTATTTTTTTAGATTGATTTCATCGAGAGAAACAACACAGGAATGGCGAATTTGTGTAGAAATTCGTCAAGGAAACCAAATCAATTATGTTAAATTTCATATTTTTGTAATCGTAGTTTTTCAAAATTTTCAAAATTCCAAGTTTATAATATTGAAATATTTTTCCAAATGTTAGTATGTTTCCATTTCTATAAATATACCTTAATATTATGGCGCAGAAAAAAATCATTAATTAAAGTATTTTTGTTTCAGCTAATGATGAAATTTCTTCAGTTGATTCTCCGATTTCCTAAATTGATGAATAATCAATCATTGTTTTACATCTGTTTTCTTTCTCTACCAAATCCTTTGTAATTGCAGTTAGAGGTGGCGGCGGAAGTAAGGTAACATATTTAGTTAGCCTATGTAGTGGCGCGGAGAACACATATTAACGACAATCGAGGGAAGATTGAGTAGTCGTTGGGAGTATTGAGGTAGATTTTTATTTAAGGTTAGTAGACTTTTCAAGGGATATCTGAAGGTGGAGGGAGGTTGAAAACTAGCTGGGGGGTGGTGGGCTAGATACGAGGTTTGTAGTCATCGTTCTTATTTTATGGTAATGTCTGTAGAGTGGGGGAAATCTATTTAGTGGCGCGGAGAACACATATTAGCGACAATCGAGGGAAGATTGAGTAGTCGTTGGGAGTATCGAGGTAGATTTTTATTTAAGGTTAGTAGACTTTTTAAGGGATATCTAAAGGTGGAGGGAGGTTGAAAACTAGCGGGGGGGTGGTGGGTTAGAGACAAGGTTTGTAGTCATCGTTCTTATTTTATGGTAATGTCTGTAGAGTGGGGGAAATCTATTTAGTGGCGCGGAGAACGTATATTAGCGACAATCGAGGGAAGATTGAGTAGTCGTTGGGAGTATTGAGGTAGATTTTTATTTAAGGTTAGTAGACTATTCAAGGGATATCTGAAGGTGGAGGGAGGTTGAAAACTAGCGGGGGGGTGGTGGGCTAGAGACGAGGTTTGTAGTCATCGTTCTTATTTTATGGTAATGTCTGTAGAGTGGGGGAAATCTATTTAGTGGCGCGGAGAACACATATTAACGACAATCGAGGGAAGATTGAGTAGTCGTTGGGAGTATCGAGGTAGATTTTTATTTAAGGTTAGTAGACTTTTCAAGGGATATCTAAAGGTGGAGGGAGGTTGAAAACTAGCGGGGGGGGGGGTGGTGGGCTAGAGACGAGGTTTGTAGTCATCGTTCTTATTTTATGGTAATGTCTGTAGAGTGGGGGAAATCTATTTAGTGGCGCGGAGAACACATATTAACGACAATCGAGGGAAGATTGAGTAGTCGTTGGGAGTATTGAGGTAGATTTTTATTTAAGGTTAGTAGACTTTTCAAGGGATATCTGAAGGTGGAGGGAGGTTGAAAACTAGCTGGGGGGTGGTGGGCTAGATACGAGGTTTGTAGTCATCGTTCTTATTTTATGGTAATGTCTGTAGAGTGGGGGAAATCTATTTAGTGGCGCGGAGAACACATATTAGCGACAATCGAGGGAAGATTGAGTAGTCGTTGGGAGTATCGAGGTAGATTTTTATTTAAGGTTAGTAGACTTTTTAAGGGATATCTAAAGGTGGAGGGAGGTTGAAAACTAGCGGGGGGGTGGTGGGTTAGAGACAAGGTTTGTAGTCATCGTTCTTATTTTATGGTAATGTCTGTAGAGTGGGGGAAATCTATTTAGTGGCGCGGAGAACGTATATTAGCGACAATCGAGGGAAGATTGAGTAGTCGTTGGGAGTATTGAGGTAGATTTTTATTTAAGGTTAGTAGACTATTCAAGGGCAATCTGAAGGTGGAGGGAGGTTGAAAACTAGCGGGGGGGTGGTGGGCTAGAGACGAGGTTTGTAGTCATCGTTCTTATTTTATGGTAATGTCTGTAGAGTGGGGGAAATCTATTTAGTGGCGCGGAGAACGTATATTAGCGACAATCGAGGGAAGATTGAGTAGTCGTTGGGAGTATTGAGGTAGATTTTTATTTAAGGTTAGTAGACTTTTCAAGGGATATCTAAAGGTGAAGGGAGGTTGAAAACTAGCGGGGGGGGGTGGTGGGCTAGAGACGAGGTTTGTAGTCATCGTTCTTATTTTATGGTAATGTCTGTAGAGTGGGGGAAATCTATTTAGTGGCGCGGAGAACGTATATTAGCGACAATCGAGGGAAGATTGAGTAGTCGTTGGGAGTATTGAGGTAGATTTTTATTTAAGGTTAGTAGACTTTTCAAGGCCAATCTGAAGGTGGAGGGAGGTTGAAAACTAGCGGGGGGGTGGTGGGTTAGAGACGAGGTTTGTAGTCATCGTTCTTATTTTATGGTAATGTCTGTAGAGTGGGGGAAATCTATTTAGTGGCGCGGAGAACGTATATTAGCGACAATCGAGGGAAGATTGAGTAGTCGTTGGGAGTATTGAGGTAGATTTTTATTTAAGGTTAGTAGACTTTTCAAGGGATATCTAAAGGTGGAGGGAGGTTGAAAACTAGCGAGGGGGGTGGTGGGTTAGAGACGAGGTTTGTAGTCATCGTTCTTATTTTATGGTAATGTCTGTAGAGTGGGGAAAATCTATTTAGTGGCGCGGAGAACACATATTAGCGACAATCGAGGGAAGATTGAGTAGTCGTTGGGAGTATTGAGGTAGATGTTTATTTAAGGTTAGTAGACTTTTCAAGGGATATCTAAAGGTGGAGGGAGGTTGAAAACTAGCGGGGGGTGGTGGGTTAGAGACGAGGGTTGTAGTCATCGTTCTTATTTTATGGTAATGTCTGTGGAGTGGGGGAAATCTATTTAGTGGCGCGGAGAACGTATATTAGCGACAATCGAGGGAAGATTGAGTAGTCGTTGGGAGTATTGAGGTAGATTTTTATTTAAGGTTAGTAGACTTTTCAAGGGATATCTAAAGGTGGAGGGAGGTTGAAAACTAGCGAGGGGGGTGGTGGGTTAGAGACGAGGTTTGTAGTCATCGTTCTTATTTTATGGTAATGTATGTAGAGTGGGGGAAATCTATTTAGTGGCGCGGAGAACGTATATTAGCGACAATCGAGGGAAGATTGAGTAGTCGTTGGGAGTATTGAGGTAGATTTTTATTTAAGGTTAGTAGACTTTTCAAGGGATATCTAAAGGTGGAGGGAGGTTGAAAACTAGCGGGGGGCTGGTGGGTTAGAGACGAGGTTTGTAGTCATCGTTCTTATTTTATGGTAATGTCTGTAGAGTGGGGGAAATCTATTTAGTGGCGCGAAGAACACATATTAACGACAATCGAGGGAAGATTGAGTAGTCGTTGGGAGTATTGAGGTAGATATTTATTTAAGGTTAGTAGACTTTTCAAGGGCAATCTGAAGGTGGAGGGAGGTTGAAAACTAGCGAGGGGGGTGGTGGGTTAGAGACGAGGTTTGTAGTCATCGTTCTTATTTTATGGTAATGTCTGTAGAGTGGGGGAAATCTATTTAGTGGCGCGGAGAACGTATATTAGCGACAATCGAGGGAAGATTGAGTAGTCGTTGGGAGTATTGAGGTAGATTTTTATTTAAGGTTAGTAGACTTTTCAAGGGATATCTAAAGGTGGAGGGAGGTTGAAAACTAGCGGGGGGCTGGTGGGTTAGAGACGAGGTTTGTAGTCATCGTTCTTATTTTATGGTAATGTCTGTAGAGTGGGGGAAATCTATTTAGTGGCGCGAAGAACACATATTAACGACAATCGAGGGAAGATTGAGTAGTCGTTGGGAGTATTGAGGTAGATATTTATTTAAGGTTAGTAGACTTTTCAAGGGCAATCTGAAGGTGGAGGGAGGTTGAAAACTAGCGAGGGGGGTGGTGGGTTAGAGACGAGGTTTGTAGTCATCGTTCTTATTTTATGGTAATGTCTGTAGAGTGGGGGAAATCTATTTAGTGGCGCGGAGAACGTATATTAGCGACAATCGAGGGAAGATTGAGTAGTCGTTGGGAGTATTGAGGTAGATTTTTATTTAAGGTTAGTAGACTTTTCAAGGGATATCTAAAGGTGGAGGGAGGTTGAAAACTAGTGAGGGGGGTGGTGGGTTAGAGACGAGGTTTGTAGTCATCGTTCTTATTTTATGGTAATGTCTGTAGAGTGGGGAAAATCTATTTAGTGGCGCGGAGAACACATATTAGCGACAATCGAGGGAAGATTGAGTAGTCGTTGGGAGTATTGAGGTAGATTTTTATTTAAGGTTAGTAGACTTTTCAAGGGATATCTAAAGGTGGAGGGAGGTTGAAAACTAGCGAGGGGGGTGGTGGGTTAGAGACGAGGTTTGTAGTCATCGTTCTTATTTTATGGTAATGTATGTAGAGTGGGGGAAATCTATTTAGTGGCGCGGAGAACGTATATTAGCGACAATCGAGGGAAGATTGAGTAGTCGTTGGGAGTATTGAGGTAGATTTTTATTTAAGGTTAGTAGACTTTTCAAGGGATATCTAAAGGTGGAGGGAGGTTGAAAACTAGCGGGGGGCTGGTGGGTTAGAGACGAGGTTTGTAGTCATCGTTCTTATTTTATGGTAATGTCTGTAGAGTGGGGGAAATCTATTTAGTGGCGCGAAGAACACATATTAACGACAATCGAGGGAAGATTGAGTAGTCGTTGGGAGTATTGAGGTAGATATTTATTTAAGGTTAGTAGACTTTTCAAGGGCAATCTGAAGGTGGAGGGAGGTTGAAAACTAGCGAGGGGGGTGGTGGGTTAGAGACGAGGTTTGTAGTCATCGTTCTTATTTTATGGTAATGTCTGTAGAGTGTGGGAAATCTATTTAGTGGCGCGGAGAACGTATATTAGCGACAATCGAGGGAAGATTGAGTAGTCGTTGGGAGTATTGAGGTAGATTTTTATTTAAGGTTAGTAGACTTTTCAAGGGATATCTAAAGGTGGAGGGAGGTTGAAAACTAGCGGGGGGCTGGTGGGTTAGAGACGAGGTTTGTAGTCATCGTTCTTATTTTATGGTAATGTCTGTAGAGTGGGGGAAATCTATTTAGTGGCGCGAAGAACACATATTAACGACAATCGAGGGAAGATTGAGTAGTCGTTGGGAGTATTGAGGTAGATATTTATTTAAGGTTAGTAGACTTTTCAAGGGCAATCTGAAGGTGGAGGGAGGTTGAAAACTAGCGAGGGGGGTGGTGGGTTAGAGACGAGGTTTGTAGTCATCGTTCTTATTTTATGGTAATGTCTGTAGAGTGGGGGAAATCTATTTAGTGGCGCGGAGAACGTATATTAGCGACAATCGAGGGAAGATTGAGTAGTCGTTGGGAGTATTGAGGTAGATTTTTATTTAAGGTTAGTAGACTTTTCAAGGGATATCTAAAGGTGGAGGGAGGTTGAAAACTAGTGAGGGGGGTGGTGGGTTAGAGACGAGGTTTGTAGTCATCGTTCTTATTTTATGGTAATGTCTGTAGAGTGGGGAAAATCTATTTAGTGGCGCGGAGAACACATATTAGCGACAATCGAGGGAAGATTGAGTAGTCGTTGGGAGTATTGAGGTAGATGTTTATTTAAGGTTAGTAGACTTTTCAAGGGATATCTAAAGGTGGAGGGAGGTTGAAAACTAGCAGGGGGGTGGTGGGTTAGAGACGAGGGTTGTAGTCATCGTTCTTATTTTATGGTAATGTCTGTGGAGTGGGGGAAATCTATTTAGTGGCGCGGAGAACGTATATTAGCGACAATCGAGGGAAGATTGAGTAGT